AGATGTAGATAATAATAACAGGAGAACATCGTTAATCCAAAACATTATGTAAAGCACACTAGGGAAAAACACAACAAGAAAGTTTACAAGAAAATACAAATACCGTACGAATATCTGTGTTGCAATATCTGTTCATACTGCAAGACTCCACATCTTATCTTTGAGTTCTCACAGACTGTAGGCAGGATTTTAGAAATCTTCCACACACCAGTAAAAAGAAAAACATTCAAAATACTTTTGTTTGTTGCGTTGTAATAACTGTACAGATTAAATCATTAGATACTACACATAAGGAGGGTGTTGAAATACTAGTGTGATCAAGTACGATCCTTAAATGTCTGAGTCCTCTTTTATCCACCCTGCATTTACATAACAAAAAAGGATCCTCAATATAAAGTATTTATCAATATTTAATATATACATGTTCTCATATTGAGCATACCACCATTTACCAACACCGCAATCACTGCAGGCGTTACAAAGAGGACAATAATATCTTGTAGCTAATTCCATTTAAACCGCCCTGCTAACACTGTAATCTCACGAGGAGCTGTCAGCTCACTGCAGCGCTGAAACTGTGTTCAGCTCTATTCTGCACTAGACAGACTCACATTCTTTGTGGTTTACACACTGACGGGGGTCACTCATGGCCGCTCTGTTGCATGCCAGCAAACAGGGGGGGAACAAAAGATGTTCCCTCCCCATCTCGCACAACAACGAAGAGGGGAGAATGAAAAGAAGATGGAGAGGTGAGCAAGATGAAGCACAGACTAAAGGTGAAGGGACAGGAAAGAGAATAAAGACAGGAAAAGGGGGAAATAAAAAAAGGTGCTTGATCTTTGAAGCTCAGGCTTAAAACAACATGAGTGGCTGCATGGAGAAGGTAGGAGAGAAAAACTGCAGCATTGTGATGATGAGGTTATTAATCACGAGGTGTCAGGGGGAATCTGAAAGTTATTGATATTGTAATATCTTTGTCTCACTTATGTGTCATTTTCAGGTAAGGATTGGAAATGAAGGTTGGAGGGAGGCGGCAGGAACAAGTACTACAAGATTGGAATACCAATGCACCTCATTTTAGACATGAAGGGAATGAAAGTGGCTGTTTAAAAATGCAGCGCCAGACAGACCACTGCCCTCCATCAGATCAGAGAATGGCACACAGATGGAGAAAGCTCACTTCAAAGACATAAAGCAGACGGACTGTCAAGTCAAGTAGAGGCAAAAAAAACGTTTAACTCTTAATATTACTCCTTAGTTTGAAAACGGCCATTAGGCTGTCCTCCTTAAATGTATTGAAAAGCAAAATAATATTTAACTCCGTGTCAAAGACAAGCTAGTTTGGGGATTGTCCCTGGGGAAGAGTGTGCTGTAAAATTGATTGAGATTCAAATTTACAATCTAATTATGTCTGAGAGGAGAGGTCTATATCGAGCGCAGGGCAAACTGAAGACTTATTTTATTATCAGTGCTTTATCATTTCTACCAGCTGACCTTTCAAGGATATACACACCTTTATTTCAAGGTAACTCTGCATTGACGGTTTATAGCGGTTTAAAATGATTCATTTACAACTTTCTTTGAGCAACTTTAAAATGATGAGTCTTGGGTTTAGACAAAAGTAGAGAAAAGCTTTAAGTGTTTTTTCAGGCATCAATAATGTCAAATTTATCGAGCTAATGTGTGCTGCTTGTGTTGGTAGCCTTTGTGCATTTCTTACACTTTGTTCATAACAAGAACATATGAAACTTGAATTAGTGTAGCACACAGGACCAACTTCCAAAAAGTGGGGTAATAATATCTGGAACTTATTTATCCACAGAGAAGGAAATGCTTCTTGGATTTGAATGTTGCTGTTAGCAGTTAGCAAGCTAGTTAGCCGCTAACGTTTGCAGTCTAGCTAGAGCAAACAAAGTTTATTCCACTTCTTACACATAGACTCAAAGTTTCAACCTCTGTGGAGATCTAAATATTGACCGGCCTCGCTACAATTGCTAAACACAAATTGGACAATGCCTGTTTAGAGCCTTGGAACTCCTTCAAACAAAAATAGTAGACAATGTTGTTGTACTGAAGATGTGAGAATGTGCTCACAAGTGTGTTTGCAAGCTACTTAAAACACGTCCCAGTGGCCCACAACTCTGCATGCAGTGTCACAGAAACATTCCTTCTTATTTTAGAAATAATCAGCATAAAAGTTATTCTGATAATCCTCCTGGGTGGCGGTATTGTTTGCTTTCTGTTGCATGCCGCCCCCCCGCTGTCTCTCGGTTCACTGGAGACTGCTTCAGAAGTTTCTTCCAAATGCCGCCTCGTCTTCTTTGAAGTTAGTCCTACTTGGAACAGAGTTTTTCAGACGAGCTTTAATCAAAGCTCTCTCTGATTTCCTCTGAGCACAGACTATGTTTTGGGGAGCAGGAGGTCGCTCCCCCATGCAGAGGATCCAATCAGCTGGTTGGATGAGGTAGAGATGCTGCATCGCCATGGTGACGGGCTGCCTGCAGACTGCTATTTGGATTTGTACAGACGAGTGTCAGGACACCTCAGTGCTGTGAATATGACAGAAAAAGACTGAGGATTAAAGCCAGCCACGTGTCCATATGAGACACACATGACTCACGTATGACCGTAAGCTTAAGCAGCTTAGGTGGAAGTACAGGAGGACAGCACTCATTTATCAAGGGGGGATTTAGAAACAGGTGTCCTTATTAATAAAGACTCCCGACAGTAAATCTGCCAACATGTTGCACCCCAGACAGGAATAAAAAAACACGTGTTAAGCATTGAAGCCGACACCCTTGCAGTGATACGCTTTGTGAAGCTCGTAATTGTCATGGCTCCTCGACGACAGGCAAGAGTAAAATATTTAAGTCTATCTCTTGTAGTCAGAGGAAAGAACCCACATGGTCGGATTATTTGAATACGATCCAAATCATGTTGATCAATCCTTGTTTTATTTAAGTGCTTTCTCTTCTCTTCCTCAGATAGTGATGACAGCGTTCTTGAACACAACTTTGGCAGAATCTTTAATGTTGTCCCCGTTTCTTCTTCCAAAACCGACTGCCTTTGAAGTCGAGTCGAGGGGATTGCTCCTCTGTTTCAGGAACCTCTCTGATCTGAGGAGATGGCAGAGAGTACATGTTCTTCTCTTTTCTTTCAAGCTTTCCCCTCCCTACTCCTGAATTGCTCTCTTTTTGCTTTAATGATGACTGATTACATGAGGAGGAGAAAGAAATACAGAGCTCCATCTCACTGATATAAATCCACCTAGCACCAAGCAGGTAAGAACAATGGAGCGCTGAAGAAGGGTCAACCAGTAAGAGCTTGTATCATCAAAACAAAGTTATTTTACTAGCTTATCAGGAGCTTTTGTCCACTCAGCCATGAGGGGTTTTATATGTTTACATTATATTACTGAACTTATCCCTTTCGTCTATTTTGGCTTTAAAAATTAGACGTTTGCGTTCTTGACCTCTGGAAACAGCTTTTATAAATGTACCACAAGGGCAACTTAGTAGCTTTCCTTGCTGTTCAAACTAGTGTTTATCGGCTCAAGCATTGTTCAACACCACAGAACTATATGTTAAAGTGTGGCGAAGATCAAAAAGTTCCCAAATATATTATGCGTTTCGGAAAAAGGCTACTTTATTTAATACAGTTTACTTGGGGTCTGTTTGAATCTACATTTTTAGGGAAGTCCAAAGGCATCTCCATCTCCAGGAGAGGAATGTTAATGTAATCTCTCTGCTGTCAAAATCAGTTAAGTCAAGATCAGAGATTTAAAAAGGTCCCCTATTATACTCTTTTTCATCAATATATTATAGTTCTCACACTGGTGCTCTAGGAGGAGATTCAGGTGATAAGGTGGATGGGTGTTACCTTGGTTGGTGATTGGCTAATGGTTACTTAACCCAAAAATACATTATGACATCACAAAGTGGCCAAATTCTGATCAGCTCATTTTCAGACAGGTTTCTATATAAATGGATCAGGACAAAAGGAGAGCCAATCTTTTTTCCTGAAACTTTCAGAATCTCTTTACACAGAAGGGACACATGCTTATGTATCAAAGACGTGAAAAAGTGGATTTTGCATAATAGGTAACCTTTAAGGGAACATAAAAAGGAAAAAAAAATGTTACGTGAATGGGATATTTAAGTATAAAGTGAAATTAATATAAATGTCTTCATATTGTTACGCCACTGATAGTAGGATTCGTGCTGCTTCAAGTGTCGCCACTCTTTGATGTATGAAGAGAAACCCTCATGCTGCCACTTGTCATGCAGCTGTGATGCTTCACCGCTCTCCTGGCCTTAAGTCTGTGACCTGAAGCGGCCAAATGGAAAGAGTTTGAACCTGAATGGGGGGTCATTCAGCTCCCAGACGGTGCCCCCATCCTTCCTGCAGCTCCTGAAGGGGCACGCTGATCCTGAGCAGCTCACCTTGGCAATCTCTTGGAGACAGTGAGAGTGATGGGATGCTGCCAGCGGGAGCAGAACGGAGAGTTTCCATGGCAACCGGATAGCTCGGAGGGAGGAAAGGCATTAATGGGTGGCTGAGGTGGCTGCGAACATCACTGAAACAACACACGTCCCCTCTCAGAGTCCGTGTTCTCTGATCCGTGACCTTTGGAAAACGGTGACTGTAAACAAACACTACCGGGCAGAAGCAACCGTTTACCCACAAACACACACCTAAGAGAGAAAAACACATCACTCAGACCTAAGAGAGCCTCCTGCAAGTGTTGTTCCTCTGGTGTAATCTTAAATAAGTCCACTGGGATGCAAACACTCCCACGGCTCGCGCTTCTCAACTCCCCCGGCTAAGTTTATCAAATAACGGAGAGCCACGGAGCCTTTTGAAGTCCTCTCAAGCTCGAACCTCATTTGTATTCTACTTATGCCCCCAGTTTTCACTAAGCTGTCTTTGATTCGGTCCCTCCCGCCAATATGTTTCCAGTGTTGGAGTTGTTAGTCATGTTTTCCACACAGCATGGGTCCCTCCGATGTGCCGCTGTTATAATCGTCGGTGGATGATCAGTGTAATTAGGCGTCTACCTCGGAGGAAAACCAGCTGGAGGAGACGCCTTGTGCCCCTGAACCGATTTGTGTCCCATTCGGAGCTAACTTCTTTGGGTAAACATTTGTTTCTGAATAATGACCGTTATGTTTCTCATCAGTCAACCATATGCAGCACTTAAATCTGAGGCCAGAGAAAGGAGAGTAATATATTCTGAATGTAACGTCTGTATGATGGCTGAAAGGCTGCAGTCATCAAACAGCTTCCTCTCACGATACAACAGTATTGATTGATAAGAGAATGGGATGATGGTGGAAAGGAAATGTCCTGCTGAGAAGTGGATCTAATGGATCCAAGTTTTGTTCTGGCTCATTACTGAGGAAATGAGGATGCACTTTAGATCTGCAGAGAGGACCAGAACGAAGGATGTGTGGGCTATATACTGGTATTAAAAAGGCTGAGAAAGCAGAGAGAGTAGAATACAAAGAGATACAAAACTGGGATGAATAAACATTTCATAAAGTAAGCTGGGTCCATGTAAAGATGGCAACGTTGTACCGTCTTTAGTATCAATAAACCACATTTCTAGATTTTAAATTTCAACACACATTTTTTAAATGTATGTAAAGTTTCATATTTTATATTCTTAATCATTTTTTAATAGACAGTGCAGACTTCACCTCTCTCTATGTTTCAGTCATATGTTTTGTCGTAAAGTTGTGTCTAACGTTACCGTGTTGACTTGAATGAGAAACATATCAATATTTTGTTGTTGATCTTTTTTAAATTATTTTCTTACCTTTCTTTCCTTTTTATTGTATTTAATGTGATTCTGTTTATATTCCATTGAGTTTATATAGGGAGTAGGGTTAAAGTGTGTAGTTAACACCGCTTTTTATAATATAAATGTGTTTCAAAGTAGGGGAAAACAAATACAAATGAAACTAAATCAAGTAAAACACTTTTTGCTATATATGAAAGCAAAGGGTTGACATGAGATGATGGGCACTGGTATATGAAAGTGTTTTCTTTTGCCACAAGCCTGTCAAACAGCAGGGATATAACACAAGTCAAAGAGGCATACCACTAAGAATCCACATGACATTAGCACACAGCGTCGGCACATCATTGTAAGCAGTGACATCTGTCAATAGAAATCAGTATATGCCATTAATAAGTATGTGTTACAATGATGTGCCGACGCTGTGTGCTAATGTCATGTGGATTCTTAGTGNAACCAGTGCCCCCGTGATCCGAAGATCAGCGCACTATCCACTGAGCCACAACCTCCCACTTACAAAATACACTTGTAAAGATTTTAAATGTAGAGTATACTTAATACAATGATTGCTGTTTTCCATTGTATAGCTGTGTTTTACTTTATTAAATGAGTTTCTTATCTTTTGTAAGGTATGTTAGAGTCCAATTAAAATGATTTTTGTGCAGGTCAGCAGGTGCTATAAGTCTGAAATATTGTGTATCTTAGCTATACAATATAACATTGTTTTTTAATGTAATTGTATAATGTGTTTCTCCTGTAATATATCTGTTGTTTTTTTGTAAGGCAGTTTGACAATGTGTATATCCCATAACTAATGCTATATGCTAAAAAAATAATGTAACCCTGCCACATGTTGCCATTTCTCATTAATTTAGGTGAAGTCGAAGCGAAATAATATAGGTCCACTTTTAGTGTATTAATGCGCGCCACCGCAGCCAGGATCTCACTTCAGATCGACACGAGCCTACATACCTGACCCATGAGCGACAGCAGCATCCCTGCCTGGACCTCTCTGCAGGGCAGCTTCTTTGAGACGGTCTGCAGCCTCTCCTCCTCATATCCTGGCTGTTGTAACAGTGCTGACATCATGCTCTCCGTACTACAAACCACAACACGGTGTTTAAGACTGCGAGGAGGCCAGTGACAAGCGGCTACAAACAACCAGGCTAACGTTAGCTTTCTAAACGTTCACTGACAGCACACGCACAACCTCACACAACTCGTATTCGGTCAAAAATGTGACCAGAACGAAACATATTTAAGAAAACAATGCACTGTAAACACGGCAGGGAACTTTAATAATATATATGCCAGAAAATAAACTGTGTAGCAAACGTAAAAAGCGATGAAAAGCTACATTAAAAGTTGAAAACGGTAACAAACAGGAGGTGGACACTCACATGAGTTTCGCGCGCGCCTTCAGATTACGTCAAATGACGGTGTCCGGTCACCAGCCAATCGCAGATCACACAAAGATTCATGGGTAATGTCGTTTTTAGCTCTAAAACTGTTATTGTGATATAAAGAACTTCAGAAGATTGTTTTTTAAACACATAAATATAGACATTGTGCATATGTTTTTATTGTTCTTTATGTATGGATGTGATGCACACATTATACTTACATGACAACTGTACAGCTTTATCTGCTGAGCAAAGTAGAAAGGAGAAAACATGAGAACATATAGCCTAATAGTCTTTTGAATGATACATAACAGCATAGACAAAGGCAACATCTGCGAATATTGAGCTTTTATGGTTTTGTTATGATATAATTGGAAGCAAACATAATTAAAGGTCCATTTACGCCGTTCATTTACAGTCTAATGTTGTTTAATAGTTGCATTTGTGTACGGTAATTTCGAGGAACATGTTCCCATACCTCTCTCACATAATTAGGGTAATGTGAAGCAGCTGTTAGAGGGGGATTATGTGAGCATTACATTTGGGTGCATTAGCCACACTGTTGTAGTTTGTTATTATTATGATTGTGTGTGTTGAGATTTTGCGCGTGCTACTTGAATAATACGTCAGACGTGGATTAAGAGATGTGGGCTGGCCCTGTGCAGGCTTTCCTCCTCCTCTGATTCACCTCAGCTGCAGCTGTTGGTCTGTCGGAGCTCAGACGGAGGAGCATTTCAGCAGAGTGGAACCCAGACATGAGCCTGTGTGCCGGGGGAACAGTCTCTGGCTTTACACACGTTTCAGGTAACGACATCTTTGAAAAATCATCAGGACAAATGTCGGATGAATCCACTGGCTTCTGAATGGATTCCTGAAGCGTGTTTTTTCGGAGAGCGCGTTTCGTTTTTTGCAAGAGTGATGAATGAAAACCAGGAGGAAAACACCAGAAAACAAAACCCGACCTCGCCATGGATGTGAGGGTGCAGTGATTCTATGGAAACAGCTGTGACTGTATAAAGTCAGAATAAAAAAAAAACCTAAACAGCGACAAGTTCTGCAGAACACAGCATTTTTGCCTTTTACGGATCAGATGCTCAGATGTGAGTTCGCTGAATACATTGGTCCTGAGCACCGAGCAGACCCCTGCACTCAGACCGGAGGATGATCCCCGGGGTCCCCAGCACGATAACAACCATGATCCCCGCCTCCGAGGCTGCCAAAATCTATCAGACCAACTACGTCCGGAACTCCCGCGCCATCGGCACCCTCTGGGCCATCTTCACCATCCTCTTCGCCATCGTCAACGTGGTGTGCTTCATCCAGCCGTACTGGATCGGAGACGGCATGGACACCCCGCAGGCGGGATACTTCGGGCTGTTCCACTACTGCATTGGCAACGGGCTGTCCCGGGACCTGACCTGTAAGGGCAGCTTCACCGAGTTCAGCAGCATCCCCTCCGGTGCGTTCAAGGCCGCCTCCTTCTTCATCGCCATGTCCATGGTGCTGGTGCTCTCCTGCATCGGCTGCTTCTCGCTCTTCTTCTTCTGCAGCACCGGCACCGTGTACAAGATCTGCGGCTGGATGCAGCTGGCTGCAGGTAAGAGACTGGCTACAGGTTGGAGTTCTCAAAACACTTCAGTGTACTCATATGAGATTCATAGTTCAAAATATTATGAGATGAGTTCTCTCCCTTATCTCCCCTTATCACAAAGTTTAGAATACAAATTTAAACATTCTGCAACCAGAAATCTATGTTCTCCTGCTTTTTAGGTTTGAAGATCCGAGTAGAAATGACTCGGAGCTTAAATAAAAGGCCATTGCAATAAATTACAGGTTTTATCTTTTATGACATTTTATTATTTATCAGGTCTAGATCTTTATTGAGTATTTGACTAGTAAATCAACAAAGTAAACACCCTTTTTTGATAAATGATACAAGTACTCTTGTACTATAGAGATATACAGGTTTTATATAATGGTAAACTGCATATCTTTGGGTTTTGGATTGTCAAAACAAGGCATAGCCTTGGATTTCAAGAGGATTTTTTTCAATATTTTCTGACACATTATAGACCGAACAATGGAGCAATTTATCTAGAAAAGAATCAGAAAATGTATAATGAAAATAAGTAGACGTTGCAACAGCCCGACATGCACAAAGTCTGTACCTAAAAATCTAGATGTTCTCCAGACTCCTCATTTGAGCTCTGTTGAGATGAGAACAAGAAATGTAATGTATCATCATATGAACTGGAATTGTCCACAATTACAGGTTTTAATCAAATCTCACAGCTAAGATTGCAAAAATTGAGGAGGATAAAAATGCAGATTGCTTTCACTTAAGATGATTCTTTCGCCTGCTTTTTTTGTGTTGTTGTCTCCAATGGTTTTGGCCACAGAGCCCTGTTATAGTAAAAGTAGTATTTGGTTCATTTTACACTAAGCATATCTCGAGTCTTGGTCAAATATTATGTAACGATCTGAAGTGTAGGTGTAGTGGCCTTGAGGAACGTAAAACCTTGGATTGAAACTGTGAAACACACTCTTGGGTCCTGATGCCATTAAATAATAGTAAAAAAGTATACAAGCGTTTCTAAATTGCATTTTTTGTTGGGGAGGCTTCTCTGATACCTGAATGTTAGAAAAGTATCTTGAAGTAAAATACATTATGTGAAATACTTTCTTTCAGGTAGGCATCGTACTGTTTCAAAGCAAATCCATAATACAGTCATATATCTGTAAACTTCAGTAAACTCGACTCTGTAAGACTTATTAAACTGTCAACTAGAAATAGTAAAGTCAAAGCAAACAGCATTAAATGGAAAAATACAAATGATTCCTTTTCTCTAAATGAGAACATAAAATGTATCTTACATCTTTAAACCCACCATGCACATTAGATACAAAAGAAAAATACATGTAAAAGGGAAAGGAGAAAATACGATCAAAGGAAAAGCAACATGTAGTCAGTGCCTGACCCAACTGCTTTTTTTTGTTTGAATGTTTTTTTTATTCCAAGCATCCTCGTTGAAGCAGATGGAGAAGATCTTGATTTCCTTCCAAAATGATATTTTCAAATAACTGGTGCAGCTCAGTTTAATATATTTCAGCCAACTATTTCAGTACGCAAGGGATAACTAAAGCAAGCATTTTTGTTGATATTTATGAGCCTCAATTTTAAATGTGCTTTTGTTGCGACTGTTCCATCATCTGCTTGCATACACGCATTTGAATCAGTGGGAGCTCAGAGAATATCATGTGATTTAAAAAAAACAACCTTTTGAGCATCAATTAACGCTTACATTTTATTTTTTTATTTTTGTTTTTATCCTAACATCACGATTTGAATATTTATTAATGCCTGCTTGTAAAGCCCAGATTGTTCTCAGAGGAGAATTAAACTTCACAACCAATACATATCACATTCATAGCTTCTGTTTTTTCATGCAGAATAAAACAGCGGCTAAATATCCATTCGGATTTAGGGTGAACATGTGTCCCAGAAGTCTGTTGATTACCAGTTTTAGAAAAATAGTAACCAGAGGCTAATGTAATTCCACGTTGCATAAACCATTAGTCATAGATATTAGGAGAGCCATTGGCCAGATGCGAGGCTATTTTAAAGCAGAAAAAAGCTTTTTCACTAAAGTATCTCGAAGTATCTCAGCTTTAAATTGGATTATCTTGGAGAAAAAGCACTATGATGAGCTGTTTCAGAGTCCTAATGAGTTCTACATCCTGCTAGTTTGACGGTTTTATTTCACAGATCAAATTTGCTTCTTATTCCTTAGAATGCATAGAAGTAGAGTCCCAGTAGAGTCTCCAGTTTACCCACCACGAGAGAAGCAGATGTGACGGTTTGCACCACATTGATAAAGAATGAAAATCATATTTTCAGCTCTGGTGGTTTTTGTTAAAGTCGTAAGGAGTGGTGGAGAGTAATTAAGGAGGTTTATTTTAGCAGACAGTACATAAGTAATACATTTCAGAGCAAAACAATGTACATCTTACCCCACTACACTTGGCTAACAGCTGTAGTTACTGGTTACATTTCAGATCATATTTACATATGAAATTGGAAACAAAAAGGTTATTTTGTATACACTGTTTGCTGATTATATTCCTAATTAATCAATAAATCATTAGGTCCATCAAATGCCAGATAGTGATAAAAATGTCCATCATGACACTCCATTACCAAGATGATGTATTCAAATTGGTATATTGTGTACTTACCAACAGTCTAAAACACAACATTTTGCGTCAATATCGGTATTAAAAATATATCCATTCATAAAAAGATGTTACCCAGAGGGTAAAAAAACCATTTGTATAATAATAATTAAAAAAAAGATTCCAGCAAAACAATTAAGGTTACTTATTTACAAAGTACAATTTGTAGTATATCTTATACTTTTACTCAAGTAAAAACAATCTTAATTGATCTTCAATATACTTTTGTGCACTCGCAGCCCAATTCAATGTGACCAATATCTCTTATTCTCATCACAGCCGCTGTTAAAGTGGCCATTTAACGGTTTTCTAGGCAACAGAAATAGCTGATACCGAGGTTGTCTAAAATCCAAACGTGATTGCAAAAAAAAATGATAAGTCCTCCCTGTGTGATGTCTTTTAGGGTGTATGAAGCTGCTGTGATGGGCGATCACTAGCTCAGAGGCAGCCCTCCTCTCCCACAGAGGGACGTCCTGAATGTTTGAAGAGCTCTGCCTTGATGGATCAGGGCACTTTTTTGAACTATAGCCAAGAATTATGACGATTGTTGTAATGAAGTAACCATGTCATTATTTCTTTGCGATTTTTAAACAACATTTATGGTTATATAGTTTGCACAAATGTTTTGCATAACTTTGCACAGTAGCCGTCATTCTTCCGACAGATCTGCCTTAGGTCCCAGAGAGACAACTTTAATATATTATTCTTGTTTCTCCCCTTCCTTATGCTTTCGGTTTGGAATTCCTCAACAAACCCCATTTTTAAAGCTTCTTATTTATTATTTAAAATCAGACATAATAATGTTAAATTGCATTTATTTTTTTTAAAACACACCTTCGCAGTCAGATAGATCTGAACCTAGTTAAACACCAACTGGAGATTTATTCATCAAACACCAAATGAGTGAATATCTTTTGGAAAAGCTGTTTCCTCTTTTAGAGACTTGTAATGTATGCCAAGGAGCTTTTCTGAAATATTGTGTAACCATCACTAAGACATTTATCTGCTATTAATTCATTTCACTTTCTAGTTTCTTCGTATTTAGTTTTTATGAAATAGGGAGACTGTAAAAAAACAGTATGGAGAATGCCAAATAGATTTTTTACAACCTTATAACCTACAAGGTTACTAATGGCTTATTATTTATACAGAGAGCCATAAATAGGTGATGTATTTACCATTGATAGCTCCATTAGAAGCACTTAAAACGCCTTTTTTAAAGCATATCAGAAAGAAAACAGGACGATGCTCAGTAACCTGGACGGCCTCCAGAGCTAATGACCATCTGGATCCCACAAATTCACAGGCATGATTTTCTCCATGGCAGTAACAGCTGAAAATGTTCTGTATGTGTAAATCAGTAGAAGACCATTGAATCAGACGTTGGTCAGCTTCCTGTGCCTTTAGTGTGTAAGTGGCTTTCGGAGCCAAAACAACATTTGTTGGAGTTTATTGATCTAAATGTTGATTTCCAGAATATCCAGAGGATCCAGCAGGGGCGGCTGCTGTTCAGCTGTGTTGTTGTTACGCTGTGAGAGTGACAGAGAACACAAAGGCTCTGCTTGCCTTATGTTTGATGCATGATAACAGTTTGATAAAAGCGTCTGACTGACTGATGTCGTTATACCGATGCTCGGTGTGCCGTGCAGTATTCAATTTTACACCTCATCAGAAAGATGTCTAGTGGAACGGGGACGTGCTGCTTTTCACGTCACATTGTGTGCTTGAAAAATACACCAAGACGCTATCACACTGTCTGCTGAGGAGAGAGATAGATAATGAAAACTGATCCAGGGAATGTTTGAAAACTGAAATCTTCCTTTTGTAAAACTTGTTTTCTGTTCATGATGTAATCCAATAAGAAGTGGAGTGTACATCTTTTATACTCCTCTTGTCTTATCTGAGGTCAGAAATACAAATATACTATAGATTGTATGTTATATTTCTTCATGACAAGATCTACGTAATACATTTTCATGAATTCATTTATTTGTCTCGAGTAAAAAAACACATTGTAGTAAAAGCTCTCTGTTTACAAGTCTGCCATCATACCAACTCAGTCATAAAGGCATAATGTTACATTATTATCATCATCAGTTATTTCTTGCATTTGATAAGTGAAACATCTTATAGTTGCATGTCCCTATATCGTGTAGTATTTAACCAAACCCAAACTTAATTTGTTGTTCCAAATTTTAACATCCAGTCAAAATAAATGGCTTTACTCACATATCGCACCCGATAATACAAATGGTGTACCTGCCACTATAACAATAAACATTAAAAAAAAAAGGAAGGAAAGAGGTTGCTGGCAATAATTGGCTGTGGGTCAAAGCCTATTTAAAAAAAAGCCACATTAATGTGAGCTCTGTGTAAACATTTGCACTGTAGATGAGATTAAAGGCAGGGAGCTAATGACATCAGCCCCATCTTTATCCCTTCACATAAAATGAAGCACCGGAAAAGTCTGAGAGGCTTTACAGTGATGTCACATGATCACACATGAGACTAAGACGCAGACATAACAGAGACACATATGCACACACAGACAAAACAAACTAGTTTAAGCTCAGATAGGTCACATATGATGGATGGTGATTTGTACTTGCTTCAGAAGCATTAACAAAAATAGAAATGTTGACCCATGCAGAGTAAATGATCCAAACAAGACAGCCAGCCAAGTCAGCAGACGCTCACAGATCTCACCCTACAGACTTGTTCTAATACTGAGGATTAAGAAAGTGGATCACCTCCCTTAGCTGATGAGGATTTTAAAGAGACAGTAACCAATTGCTGACCTCCATCAGCCTTAATAGACACTTTGACACTTTCATACAAGTAGAAACTTTTAGGAGACACTTGACTATATAATCATTATTTGGTTGAATTAAGCTTAGATTTGTGACTAAATTGAACTCAACGGATTAACATTCGAACTAACCAAGAGAGGTTGACAGAATAACCACACTATAAGGTATATTTTTGGTAGCTAATCAGGTCTAATTAATATTTGTCTGAGCAATTTATTAATGTTTCGCCCAGGTTGGATTAAACTAAATGGACCTTGTAATTAGTTTACTTTATCAATAGCTTTTTCCAAGAATGAACAGTCTCTAAAGTGCTCTGAAATTGCCTATTGATGCAAATGTAATGTATGAAAAAGCTGAGCTACAAATTCAACATTTTATAAAATAAGCACGTTTTTAGTTTTTTAAGAAAATGAAATATAATTTACCAGTTGAATCTTACCTTACCATTACAATATTAGGTTGTTCTGTGCTTACTAAAAACAAATTAATTGACTTTTAATACATACACATTAAACAGTAAGAGCTTCATGTAATGAAGCGCCAATAAAGAGCTTGAAATGTTTCCTTAAAAGCATACCCACCAGATGATCAGCAATATATTACAGGTAGTCACCAGAGAGAATAAATCAGCGTGAGCGAGGCAATTTAAACATGTCCCAGAGGGTGAGGTGTTATTATGGTGTAACAAAGTGCATTGCCAATAATAAAAACAGATAAAATAAATATTTTACAAATGCACATACCGTAGGGTATGGTAAATTTACTGCTAACCAGAATACATCACGCCATGTTACATAGACATAGCTTTGCCTTCACATGCTTACAATGACAATGCTAACATGCAACTAGCTGGTGTAATTTTAACCACGTTTACCATTTTATTCACTGATTTGCTTCAATTGTACATGAAACTTGTAATTGTGTAAGCGAACTAGTTTCTTTCTGATACGTTTGCATGCTCAGAATGTCAATAATAGCAGTTATATTTGCTACAGTATATTCACCATCTTAACTGTGCATGTTTGCATGCCAACATTTGTGTTGCGATGCCCAAAATATGTATAATTTCTTCATAGAATTGTTTGGCAAGCAATCCAATATTTTTGGAATTTTCTGGAACAAAAAGGTACATTGACATTTTCGTTAGTCATTCCTTAAAGCGATTACAATGAAATATATGTTATACGTTTTAATGGGAAAAAAGCCTGGCTATCATCAAGGTCACATTTATATTTGAGCCAGTTACTGCCGCTTGTTGATGAATAACATGTCATCCTGAGGTGATGATGATTTAGTCTTTTATTAGCCGTGGCGTGATGGACAGATGGGACTGTTGGAGCTCCTGGAGCAGGTCCAATGGGAAGCGAGGGTGGAGGTGTGTCTGATTGAGGAGTCGCAAGGTATTTAGAGCTTTAAGTGTGACTGACATCTCTGATTGCAGAGGAGTTAGGACCAAAATGAGCAGAGAGATGGAGATTATGTGAGACCAAGAAAAAGGAGAAGAACCCATCAGGGCTATATGAATTACGCTCCACAAAATGGATACTCCTCTATTGAGGTTAAAGTGCAAATAAATGAACAGCAGTGATAGGGGTGTACATTAACATGCCTAACAAAACATGATATCAGCATCAAGGCCACAGATATAGGCACATTTGTGTATGACTTTTTTTCTTCACTTTTTAAATCTTTGTATTTAAACTGCATAAAATAAACATGAACCCAAATGATTATCTTTTTCTACCGAGCTTTTATCATCTTTCATCTCCTCACACTTTAAATGGATTTCCCTCATTTGCCATTTCATCTCCAAAAAATAGGTTTAGCCTAAATATGTTGACGATTCTTGAGAATAATTCCTTTTGTATCTTTTTGACATGTCAACAGTTTCCCTATAATTGGCTATTTGTTGTAAACTATGTGCACATTTAATCGGTGCATTGTCGCTATATATTTAAGTGCAATTTGCTGCTACATAAATTCGATAAAGATTAAGAGTGTTGTTTCATTTGTCGTTGTGCGTGGACCTAATATTCTCAGAGGGTCCGTCTCTGTCTCTGTTAACTACTGGCAAACACTTTCTATCATCAGAATAATGTGTACGTCTGTGCTCTCTGATTGCTTTCTATTCGTTTTAAACGCCTTATTTAAAACTTAATCGCACTTTCATTGCTTTGTTCTAGTCAGGTGCTTTATGGGGACAAGCATCCTCACAGGCTCCATTACCTCTTCATTAAACCAACTATGAGGTGGCTGCTTTAATGTCCTTGTTGTTACGACGGCTGAGGGGAGATTCCTCAGCATTGCTTTTTATAAAAATATATCAAGTTTAACTTCTAATTAAACCCTCACTAGGCTTGCATGGAGCAACACAAAAGTCTAAATAGACATGTCTCTCTCTCCTAGTCAGCCTGTAACGCTGGTTACTGCAGAGTTTGCTGCTTTGGAAGACCGCTGGCATTATCATGAGCTGTGCTGCCCTTTTAAATTGGTGGGAAGATGATGATGATGATGGGAAAGTGTCCAGTTGCCAGCCAGAGGAGGCTGAGATAGCGAGATCTTTCCCGAGGTCTCAGCATGATGTGGACGTGCTGAAGTCATAGGGTTTAATATCACTCCTAATCAGGTGCTAGTTATGGAGCAGTGGGAGAGCTAACAGCATGGGGTTGGGACGACAATGAGAGGAAGAAGATTGATCAGCAGCAATGAGTCTGACATCCCTGGTGTGTTGTGGAACTGTGCCAGTGTGTATGAAAGACAAGAGGTTTATTCAGACTGAGTGGGAGTATCACTGACTCGAGCCGTGGATGTTATTTTACCGTCTGTGTTTTGATCTGCTGTTGTATTATCCTATTGTTCTATGTATCCATGAGGGAGCGTCACTAAAGAGCTTGCCCGCAGCTTGAGGGATCATTGACAAATCCCTCAGCAGGGGAAAGTCATAAGCATAAGCTCGTCCCACAGGAAAACAAAACACCCTCTGTTTTTCCTGCTGCGTTACGGGAAGCTCCAGAATAACAATAACTTCTTCTTCAGAGTTGTTCATATCAGTCTGATCTGCATATCAAAGTCTGGTGGATTTTTTTGTCTCCGTTTTTGTACAATCACTTCATATTTCATCAAACGACTGCATCCTTGAGTTTTAAATAATAATGTAATCATATTCACGTTCTGTGTTGTTTTCATACGGCATTGTAGAAATGTTATTTTGATTGAGTGGCTGAATTTATATCCAATCATCCGGCCCATTTTGGACTAACTCCACTGAGTAGATCATAGCTGGTCCTGATCGATTCCTCACATTAAGTCATTGCTGGAGTCCCTCCAGTCAGACTAGTTTGCAGAACTTGGATGGGAAAAAGCCTCAATTATCCAGGGTTAAAACAGAGGTGATTTGAATGTCTCACTTTTTTCATAAATGAATGCTGCTCTGAGTTTTAGTTGGGAAAATCTCATGCGACATAGAAAGCAAAATGAGCTTAAAGCATGTTGATGCCTACTTCTACCTATTAATACAGTAAGTGCTTTTTCAGATTTTTGGCAGGGATGTATACATCTATAATTCAACATTTAAATAAAACAAATGTTCTCGATATACAATTCAGCTTTTTTGTCTCTTCACATCATCTTAATATTGATATAAATGTTCTCCTCCTAATCTTTTTATATGTCGTCCCTTCCATCAAATTTCATAACATTTGGGCTTTGAGATCTTCCGTAATCCTGCTGACAAACATAACCAAATAGGTAACCTCCCTTTTGGAATTCATAAGCAAATAGTGCCAAGAAAAATAATAAGAGTGCAGTAAACGTTGGTCTCTGACCTCCATTAAGCTGGACTTCATTCCACTTGATGTTTTCCCTGGATAAAACGTTGTAAAAAACGAGTCATCTGGAGACCAGCAAAGGATCAGCCACTCTGTTAGCAGTGAATGTCAAACACGGCACTAAACACTTCCACGTCTCATTAAGACTTGATTATCCCGACTCCCCAGGAGTAATGTCATTAGTGTAGCAAGGATGGAGGATAAACTAAGGCTCCGTCCTGTACCACTTGCACACCTTCTCCCGAAAACTCCTCATAACCTCAAACGACTAACAACTTCTGCAAAAGCTTCCTGTCAGAGCTAAAACACGAGTGAGCTTTCAGGCTTTGCTTGCTCTTATTGGATGTGACAGGCCGAATGCAAATAACAAGACCCCCAAACCAACAGTATGAAATCGACTAGCGAGCGACTTTGTTGCTTCTTGATCCCTCTGGCCTGTTCTGTCCGAGAGGAATGCAGAAGGAATGCTGCTTCCATTGATGTTGGACATTGTCTCTGCAGCGAGTCACTTTGATATGAATTATACCTGCAACCACAACACTGGTTTGTGAATAAATCATTACTCTCGGACATGAATGGGTATGTCTCTGTTATGGTACAGTTTATCAGAAATGTAGTGATGTTTTCATCCAACAAAGTAAATGCCCTTATTTAAACTTGATTCTCAATCATGCAAATGAATCTACAGAAAAAACATCCAACGAACAAGATTCTTCAGACCCTCCTCCTCAATCTGTTGGTATACATCCTCAGTCCCCCGCTCCATAATTACGAGAAGTTGAATTGCTCTTAATTAGGACCTGAGCGCACAGAGAGAAATAACTTCACATGTATTCTCAACCCAAGGGCGATGACAGAGTGCCGTATGTGTGTAAAAACAAAAGCAATATGTTGTGTATTAACAAGACTTCATGTTTGTAAGAATATTTTTGCCATGTTAGATCATTTTACTACTTGCTTGCTAATAATGATCTAACCATTTAATTCACCAGCATGTACGTGGGCTGGTTTCGGCTTTTTCTATTTTGGCAGTGAAAAAGTACTTTGCATAACTTCCTGGTTGATTCATATTTTCAAGAGGAAATGGGCTAAAAGCAGGCATTACTGATTCTGTTGCAGGACACATTTTGGCCTTTTCATGTTAAAAAATCCATTGAAAAGTTTGGTCTTATCTGCAGAATAATCCTATACATGGTGTTATAATTCACTACAGTTAGGCATGATCCAAGATAAATAAATCTCTGTTTTCGTTATATCCTCAAGCATTTTACTGTTAGGGACTCTGGAGATACAATTGAGTATGATTCACTTTTTTTTCCAAGAGGAAAGGGACACTCACCTAGTGGAAATCTTCACTCTTGAGTTCACTTTTCTACTCACACTTGGTAGCCAACATTAGAAGATGGTGCCTTTTTTTAACTTTTTCCTTGTGTTTTATTGACTTAGCGAAAAGGGCCATGACACTACTACAGGTCAATGGCACGTAAGCCTTCATTTTTTGCAAACAAACGAATGACCAGCAGGCAGCAGCTTTTCACACGTCCGTTTGATCCATTAGACTTTGTAGCTGTTTCCTCTCCATCGTTCGCTTACTGTCAATAAGTCTCCTCCTCTGCTGCTTGCTTTCACATGTCTCCCAGAGGAGGGGTAGACTTTATAGATTTCCCTTCGGGGAGGGGAGTATCTTCTTGATCACTGGACATGGATGGAGAAGACAGCCGGTTGATTTATCTTCCTCCCCCGAGTTAGGCAGAAGGACAAGGACGGGGTGACCCATTTGAAACTATCTGCCTCCAATAAGCCCATGTGTGTCCCTGCATGTGTCTTTAGGCAGCAGGACAAGGACGGGGTGACCCATTTGAAACTATCTGCCTCCAATAAGCCCATGTGTGTCCCTGCATGTGTCTTTGAGTGATGCTCATTTCAGCGTGTGCGAGTGTTTGAGTTAATGATGCTGCTGTCTGCTGGTGTTGAGGAGACTGACGCCCAGTCCAAGGTTTCCATCATGTATCAGATTCTGTTTTGACATGGCTGTCTGAGGGTGAATGATGCTCAGATGCTCCTTGATTTATAGAAGACCACGCCTCTGTGAAGGTTGCACCACATGGGGCATTTTTTAACTCTGAAAAACAGCTCTGAACTCTCTTTTGAAAGACATAAGGAGGATATAACCTTAAGAAAGCTACTTTTACATTTAGCAGATATTAAGTGATGTTAAGAGTGATAAGTGGTTGAAAGCTTCAGTTCTGAGTTGTATGTCACTATGTTTCTGGTCCCGCTCATGTCTACTGTCACATACTTATTAATGGCATATACTGATTTCTATTGACAGATGTCACTGCTTACAATGATGTGCCGACGCTGTGTGCTAATGTCATGTGGATTCTTAGTGGTATGCCTCTTTGACTTGTGTTATATCCCTGCTGTTTGACAGGCTTGTGGCAAAAGAAAACACTTTCATATACCAGTGCCCATCATCTCATGTCAACCCTTTGCTTTCATATATAGCAAAAAGTGTGCCCTGATGAACCTGGGGGCTGTGTTGTCTGGAACCTTGTGTTCCTGGTAGGGTCTCCCATGGCAAATTGGTCTCAGGCAAGGGGTCAGACTAAGATTGGTTCAAAAGACCTCATGAAAGACGACACACGAAGTGAGGATACCCGGCCCGGAGGAAGCCCGGGGTCCCCTTCTGGAGCCAGGCCCAGAAGGAGGACTCGTCGGCGAGCGTCTGGTGGCCGGGCTTGCCACGGAGCCCGGCCGGGCACAGCCCGAAAAGGCGACGTGGGCAACACCTCCGCTTCTCCGTCCCGCGGGCCCACCACNGTAAGTGGGAGGTTGTGGCTCAGTGGATAGTGCGCTGATCTTCGGATCACGGGGGCACTGGTTACAATCCCGCTGCACTCAAACATTCCACTGTGTGCTTGGACAAGACACTTCACCCCAAATTGTTCCTGTGGGGATTGCCCACAGTGTTGAATGTATGTAAGTCGCTTTGGATAAAAGCGTCTAACAAGTGACATGTAATGTAATGTAATTTGATGTATTTCAAATTAACAGCAAAAAAAAAAGAGTAACTGTTGCATGTAACTTTAAAGTCATGTTTGTCCATTTTGGATTGGCGTTTTGGTTGATAAAGGAATATCTATGTTATTTGTATTAGATTAAAGTGTTTGTTGGATTGTCATGAATCATTGACATGTCATATTTCACAGCCACACCAGTACAGCTATCCCTCAATCTTCATCTATGGTCATCAATCTTCAGGGAAGAGTCATGTGCTGAATGTTTTGCTGAAGGAACTGGAGGTAATGTTTAACACAAACTTTAAATGTTCTGTTTGTTTTTTCATTTAAGTAAAAAAAAGCAGCAATTCTGTTCATTTTAGTATTTGGAAGTTGCACATTTTCACATTTTGCCTGAATAATTGTTTTAACAATTTATCTGATATTCAATTGAATTGTTTTCTTTTCTGACTGTCTGTTGCTAACAGTATGTAACGCTGAATCACAGCAGTGGAGAGCTCTAACAATTAGAGTGTTTGAGTTTCATTAATTGTTCAGTGTGCAACAAAAGCAAAGGAGAGTCAACACAAGGTGAAGATGTGTATTTAACTGCACATAGAAAACTGATTGTCTTTTCCTCCTCCTCTTTGCAGCTGCCCCACGCCACAGTGAGCTGTGTTGAGTGTGTTTCTGTTGCCTTGCTGTTTGAACAAGTGCTGCTGTCCTTCTTTGGCTGCCATGCTGCCTCGCTGCTCCCCCGCAGTCCCTCCCTGTCTGACTTTGTACGCATCTACAGACAGCAGAGCTCGCAGTCTCCTGCCAAGCAGACGCGATACATTGTGAGTGCACTTTACTCCCCAACCAGAACATTGCTCCTCACTTGGCACACCAAAATACTGTAATCCATGGCATATAGAATGTATTATTCTTGGGATGTGTCACTCAAATGTATGGCAACATGATTAGTAGTGATAACAAATGCAAATAGACGCTAAACAAAGCTCCAGATGCATAATGCCTGGAGAAAAATTGTCGGATTTCCAGCCAGCACGGGAGGTTTAGTCTAGAATGTTGGCTTACTATATGTTAAAGTAAGGTCACAGCATATAAAACAGCCTTTTACAACCTCTATATTACATTTTGCTTATGCTTTTATCCAAAGCAACCTACAATAAGTGGATTCAACCATGAGGAAACAAACTAAAAAAGGAAGACTCCTGAGTACATGACCTTTCACATAATCACACTTTTTCTGGTATATATTTTTCAGGTAATGGAAAAAGCAGAGCTTCTGAGAGACTCTGATGCCAATCTCCTCCCTGCTCTCCTGCGTCTTCAAGAACTGGTGAGAAAGTGCAGCACGCTCTTTGTGTCATCTATCAAGCCAGCAGCTCTAATGTTGTTGCAGATGATGAATGGGGACTGGAGGAGCTTCCTTTGTTATAAATGATCTGGAGCTGAGTGCGTGGAGCGCTTTAATAATGTTGTTCCGGGAAGAAAGATGAAAATTCCACACAGCATTTAAATTGAGGACATATAGAGGACAAAGACTATTTGTGTTTTATTCCTGCAACAGCAGTTTTTATCTGGTGGGTTGTTTATAGAGATCCTTTAGCTGCCCATTTCAAACTGTCCATCATTGTTCCTCATGGCACAAAATCATATTGTCACGGTAAAACAAATGAGTAGAGCTATTCAAATGTCAAAAGACTTCAACTAAACAATACGCTGAAATACACTCAACATTAGATCTCTATATATAAAACATAAATTGAATGAGGTAGCAATGTCTGTAGCCATGGAGACACACTCACTGAATCCCCTTGTAGTACACACCAATGTTATATCACACATCTCTTATGGGACCTCTTCAGGTGGAGGACAACGTTACCGTCATCCTGCTCAGTGAAATCGTCTGGGACAGGTTCAGACCAAACACCGGCTGTTTCGAGCCCCTTCTGCTCCATTTCCCCGACTACAGTAAAGGTAACATCCTTCACACACACACGCACACGATACATCAGCATTCAGTGTCATGAATAAACTCCCCTCACACTGCATAATTGTGAGTCACACTTGGCGGATTCTGCGTGAAATGTGTACCTGTGACTTTGCTCTTACACATAAGGCAGAGACTGAAGAGGAATATGCATGTATTTTTAAAATATTTAGCACGACAGGAATTGTACTTGGTGTTAGAGGAAACATTGCTTTTTTAAATATGGTTTTGTGTGAGTAGTTCTACTGACAGTGTGTCTACTTCTATGCATTTGAAGGTGAGCTGCAGCACATTTTGGCCCAGGACAGAAATCCTTCATATTCGGATGAGTTTTACTCGGCTTACATCAACATCCTGCTGGGAGTCTTTTACTCGGTGTGTCGAGACCTCAGAGAGCTGCGACACCTGGTCAGACACACACACACACACACACACACACACACACACACACACACACACACACACACACACACACACACACACACACACACACACACACACACACTCACACACACACACACACACACACACTCATCAATTAGAGAACATTTTTCATAGTTTTGATTTTCTTTCAGTCTGGGATCATTGATTCTCTTTCTCCTCTTGTCAACCAGGCTGCTCTCAACTTCTCAAAGTTCTGCGAACCGTTAGCAGAAGGAAAAGGTAAAACATAAAGAGGTGTATTCTTTCATCTGACAGCTGATCAATAATAAACACATCTCTATTTTACCCTTTTATTTGTGCTCATTTGAAGAGAGATCTTTTTAATCTTGTTGAAATGAGTTTAAGCTATTTGAACTTTTCAGAATTTCTCTCTTTTAAAACTGCATTCATTGATTTCCCCCCCGCTAATTAGATTGAAGTGGAACAAGCTGTAAACACAACAGTCAAATATTGTCACCATATAAAGTTGTTGATGTGAATATGCTGGCAAACTTTTTCTCATTTTCACATCCACCATACATATACTAACATATGCGGACTAATCACTATGTCCCTGTGGTGGCAATTGTATTCATCAAATGTGGATGGAGATGAACCCATTCAGCTGTCTTCGAGTTGCATATTTGACTACAGATGGAGGAGAGAGGGGGGGGGGAGGTCAAGCTTGGCGATAATGTAAGGGCATTCTGGCTAACATAGAGATTAGCTTTAGCACGTAAGAATCACACAATGATATTATAGTAAGTGAGTCAAATACTTTTCTGTTACAGTCCCCAATTTGCTATCTTCACTGCAGTTACATATTTTAGGAGTGCACTTCAGCAAAATATAGGTAAACCATAACATCTAAATGTAATAGAATTATGAATTAAGTTGAACAATCACAGTTTTTATAGCTTTTTTCTTTCTGTTGTGACAAAACAATCTGTATCTTTGACACCTATGTCTTTCTTTGATCCGAAACATTGAGTTAAATAAGGCAAAAAAGCTTCATAGTTCATTGGAGACTGCAGAGTAAGGTGATATTTGTATTTATCACAACAAACGTCACCCCTCCTTAACCGTTACGCAATTAAATGTTCCTATTCTTCCTGATAACATCTATTCTCTTATAAGCCATTTAAACTGCTCTTAATGTGGCTTTTTCATCAATGCTCCTCTGTGTCTGTGTTCAGTGAAAGAGACGGACACTCACAAGCTGTGGAGAAACATCGAGCCTCATCTGAAAAAAGCCATGCAGACTGTTTACCTGCGGGAAGTGTCCAGGTCTGTCGCCTTTACATCGATCTGCTAATGAACCATGTCACTTTCTGATCTATCGGCTCGTTCTAGTTCTGCTGCTTGTTTGCTGCCTCCTGGTGAACAACCTGAATCAGCGTATTTACTGCTGCTGTGGTTTGTGTTCATAATTCCCTGTTCTCTGTTCTCTGTTCAGCCTGCAGTGGGAGCAGATGCAGCAAATGGAGGAGAAGGAGAATGGAGCAGTGAGAGGTACCGACACACACTTAGCGCTGTTGAATCTAATGACGTAATACGCTTGCAGAGCAGATGTTAAACTGCTAAAGCATTGACATTCTGCATTAATGCTCAAATTGGGAACGGCATAAAAATGAATCCCACTGTATGAATCAATGTACTGTATGACTAAATGTAGGGTTGCTGAGCATCATGATGTATTGTAGGAAAGTCTTTTTACACACTGCACAGTACACCTGACTCATTCCTTTATTTCCCTTCAGGTTTGTCCGCTCACACTCATGTTGAGCTGCCTTATTACTCCAAGTTCCTTTTGATTGCTGCCTACCTGGCATCCTTCAACCCTGCCCGCACAGACAAACGCTTCTTTGTAAAGGTACAGCAGTTTCATATGATAAATATTGGTATCTTGTACAGATTGTAAAGCCCTTTAAGTGTTATTGTGTGAGTTTAATGTTGCTCTGTTATCCCCGACAGCACCACGGTAAAATAAAGAAAACAAACTTCTTGAAGAAAAATGAAAAGGTGATCATCTTAACATAACACTGCACATTTAAGCTAAACTGTTATATAATCTTAATATGTTCCGTCTCTGTTTTCTAGACTAGTAACCACCTTCTAGGGCCGAAGCCGTTTCCTCTGGATCGCCTACTCGCCATTTTCTACAGCGTGGTGGACAGCAGAGTGGCCCCCACTGCCAGCATCTTCTCCCAGGTCAGGGTCGAGATACTTTCAGACGCAAAAAAAGATTACCGTAAATGAATAGTGATCGTTTTTTTTTTGGCACGTTCTATCACATCTTATTCCATTTGTTTTATGTTTCTGCATAATTTCAATTGATTCTCTTCGGCATCTCAGAAGTGACTCATAGCTTTTTAGCCGTGCTAGTGGTAAAGTATGGCTGTAGGGATGGAAATGTCTGAGAGTGTGTTGGTTTGCCATTTCTCTACAGCCTGAAATACCAACTTCTGGATGGACATTTTGATGTCCTCATGTCCTAATCTGTTAACCTGAGCTCTGTATTGGGATGATTTTTTATTTTATTTGGCCCTACAGTGCCTTCAATCTTTCTCTATGATTGTGACTTTGAAAGTCAACTTTAGGAATACTCCTGGGTCTGTGAAGTAGCTTCTACAGAATATTTAAAAAATAACGTCGTGCTTATTTCCCCATTTGTCAGTTAAGCAAATTAAATGAGAACATACAGTCATTTTAACAGGATTTTAAATTGTAATTTTTCCCATTTCTGGGAGCAAATGACACACTATGTTATGTTAAATCAAACTTAATGGCCACAGTGTCTCAGATGAGAGTTGTCTACCCATATGGTCATGAGTTTCGTATCTGAGGCCAAATGCTGATCTATTTATGGCCCGAGCATGAAATGGTTTGAGGAAATTAGGCTCAACCCATATCTGTGCTACTGGCTGTCATTTAGTGCTTCAAAGTGAGGCAAAGCTGTTTAAAGAAGTGGAACGGAGAGGCATTTCATGTTTCCCTCGATTCTCCGTCAGATCTCCTCTCTGGTGACCCTGCAGCTGTTGACGCAGGTCAGTCATGGCGACCAGATCGATGCCCCAAAATACAAATGTGCCGTTTCTATGGACTTCATCTGTGGCATCTCCAGGTGTGTGTGCATGTCTGCTAATACACATTTGACTGAAAATGAAAACAAATTACGAGTTTTTTCACAGAGGATATGCTTTGTCTGTTTTATCTTCCAGGACTGTGAACTTTGAGATTATCAAATACCTTTATGACTTCCTGTGAGCCCCTGAGGAAAAGAAAGAGGCAAGACATGGTGACAGAAAGACAAAAGATGGTAATACACATCTAAAGATAAGCAGTATCAGGAGATGGACTGTTGTTGGGATTTTCTGTGTAAGAAAATAATCCAATTATGTCGCTGCCCCCTTGTGGTTAAAGAATAACCCTGTTTTCCTTGTCTCATGACTGTTAATAATAATGTTTAATATTTACATTTGTATAAAATAAAAGCCATTTTTGAAAGTTTGCTTTATACTTGTTTTAGTTTTTCTGTGTTTTTACAGGATATATCAAGCGTAATACTATAGTTTACATTCCTTTTCTTTTTTATTACAAAAGGAAGAGAGCCAGTAGATAATCCTGTTTAAAATAATGGGAGAAAAAGATGAACACTCTGCAGGTTAAGCATGTGTGCCTTACATGGAGCGACCTTGGCACCGTGCAGGAAAATCATCGTGCTTGTTTAAAGGGAGGGCTCACCTTCCACAACGTGTCATATTTGTTGATCCTGTTGTATGAGGTTGTATACTGAAGTCATGGGGTTTGCTGAACAGGCAGTAAGTTATTAAGCTAATACACACACCCACACCTCAATGCCACACAATCACAAGCTGCTATTTTGTCTTCTGCTTCAGCTTTATTTAAAAAAAAGGATACAAAAGGTAAACATGGGTTTAATCTCTTCAGACACTTTTACCTGTTTGTGTACTTTACGCTGCAAAGTCTCCTGTTAACCGAACGGGCAAGAACAAGTAAAAAGTCATTCAAGTATTTTGATGTAGACGCCCAGAAATACAGATTTGGTGCATATAACTGCCACTCTGCTCCACTTTCTCCCTGTTTAATCCCTGAGGGAATCTGTGGGTAAGTGGACCGTCTGAGAGATTATCCCTCGTGCCAAAGTGTCCTTGGGAGAGCTCAGCGACAATAAACAAAGACAAGTACCACTTTGCAAAGGTTGACTGAGTCATCTAAATGCATATGTGATTCTTTTAGAGGTTAGAAATAAGATATGTCAGAGTTTGCAGCAGAATTACAATAACCTGGTTTAAATCTTTATAGAAATCTTAGTCTATGAAAGACCTTTTCTTCAGAGGCCGTGTACTGAACTCTCAGGTTGAATTGTGTATAAGGATAAAGTCATCGGGGAAGGCACTAAACGCTGTGCCTCCTGTTGTGGATCATCGTCATGATGTGGGTCAGGTCCAGGCTTTTTATCATCACCTCCATGAAATCATCATCACCTCGAGCACCAGCCACAAACTCCTCCAAGGAGAGCTCACCTGTTAGAGAGAAAAGACGTTAAAAACATGCAGTTTTCTCCCAAATTAAGTCAATTAAAAAAAGTCCCACACCCCCCGTTTTAGAATTGCATTTCATGTATTACATTGTACTTATTGAATTAACCTCCTTTGGTAATGATTTAAGGATTGTTGGAAGTTCAACAGCCATCAACATAATATTGTGTTGTTGTGATTGTCTGGTTTTCTACAGAAGAGAATTAGTGCCTACCATGAGAACAAATTAGTATGAACATTTATTATTCATTATGTTTTTTTTATTCAGTTGCATTTTGTGTAAGAACCATTTAATCGATAATAATTCATTCAAATTCTTAAATTACTGAAAATTAACTTGACATTTTAGGATTAAAGTTGAATTTCTGAGAATAAAATCAATTCTACGGTTAAAAATAAAGGAAATTGCACCAACTTTTTTTTTTTTTTTTTATGTCTGGCCTTCCATAGATTTTAGCCTCAAGACAGCCTCAGAGCTGATAAATATCTCAACACTGTCCACCCAATGTTCTAAATCTCACACACTCACCATCTCCGTTTATATCGATCCTGTCAAACACGCGGTTAGTGAAATCCTCAGCGGAATCTTCCTGACTTTCATTCCCATTGATAGCACGGATAGCCTGCAGGAACAGAGTATATCAGTATGCTATGATGAGACCATGAGTTGCTATACAACAGAGAGTGCAGTATATGCTGTACCTTTATGATGTTGAGGAGCTCATGCCGGTCAATGCAACCGTTACCATCCACATCATACAGTTTGAAATACCAGCGCAGCTTGTGCTCCATCTTCCCTCTCATCACCAGACTGAGAGCAGCCACATACTCTATGAAGTCTATGTAGCCGTCCTGCAAAAACAAGTGGGGCAAAACATCAATCAATTATTATACATCACCGTCTGATTAATATTTAACTATTTTCACACATTCAAAGAGGAAATTCACTGACGACGGCCCCTTAATTTCAAATTCTATCTGTGTGAAATAAAGTGTGCCACAGGGTCATCTCCAGGGTCTGTTCAAACAACATCAACAATCTCACAGATAATGCCATAGTTGAAATCATGCAGAGAGATTAACGTGAGCTGAAGGGGGCCTAAATATAGCGATGACCCTGTTCATGCTCCTTGACAATCTTAATAAACATGATCCGGGGTTTACATGCGTGTAGCTGGGAGATAACTGAACCGCTTGTTTGAGTAACAATTGTTATATTCAGTGTAGATAATAAAGACAGCATAACTCACTGATGCACACAAACTTAAGTCTTTCTTCATCTCATGTCAATAACGTCTTTGTCCACATGGTATTTATTTAGTTTGTCTCTTTAAAAGGGAGTAGAAAGAAATGCAAAACATGACGCAAACTAGAAACCCCACATATACTGTACCTAGAGGTGGGAAGTCGTGGAGTACAAATACTTCGTTACTGTGCTTAAGTACATTTTTATGGTATCAGTACTTTACTCCACTCCTTATTTTTCTGACGACTTTTTACTTTCTACTTCTTACATTTTCAAAACAGATTTACTTTAGTTTTAATCTGTGATTGGTGGCGTGATCATTATTATTTAGAGTCATTGCGTGCCTATTGATTTTAACACAATCCGTGTATCCGTCATTTCCTGGTCTTCTCTAAAGAAGAGGGACCAATGAAAACGTTGTAATTTTGCCGTTGTTCAGCATCGAAACATTCCTTAGCTAACAATGACATTATTGTTCTATTAATATAAAGGGAGGTCAGGTACTCTTTAAAACAGCTGGTAGCTATGGGTACTATTTTTACTTAAATACAGTTCGAAGCCCATTCTTCTTTACTTTTACTTGAGTAAAAAGTTTGACTAAACTTTTTACTCAAGTAAAAGTAAAGAAGAATGGGCTTCGAACTGTATTTAAGTAAAAATAGTACCCATAGCTACCAGCTGTTTTAAAGAGTACCTGACNTCAACATGTAAGAAGTAGAAAGTACAGGTATTTGTGTTCAAAATGTAAGAAGTCAAAGTAAAAAGTAGTCAGAAAAAAAAGTAGTGGAGTAAAGTACTGATACCAGAAAAATGTACTTAAGTACAGTAACAAAGTATTTGTACTCCACTGCTTCCCACGTCTGACCGTGCCTGAAAACTTCTGCAGAGGAGCCAAACGATACTCCTCTCTGTGTGCTGCTGCTTGTGGATACAGTAGCCCGGGTGGCAAAAAGACAGCAGCCATGGCCGGCTGGGTTATTGAGCGTGATGCTGGGAGGCCTGACGTGAGAGATGGCTGCAGCTTCTGCGTTAGAATTACATGTTCAGCCTGCGGAGCAGCGGGGATATGACACGCCATTGATCCCCGTTTTAATTTTATGGTGGCTACCTCCAGATTTGAACGCTTTGGTGGTCTAGTAGCCTGACCCTTTTAATCAATCCCATATCATTTAGTATTTAACTAACATAAACGACCAACTGATTTCCTGGAATGCCCTCTGAAAGCAAAGAAAGTAGATAAAGCAAAGTTGTGTTGAGTCTGTGTGATGTTGAAAAGCGATTCACAGTACACCAGATTTGTCGGGAATTCTTTGTGGTTCTTTGTAGAACAGACAGACTGGATTGAAGTGAGTAAAGCTAATGAGCTGCAGAGTGGGGGAATATGAGAAAGAGGAAAAAAGGCACAATTTCTAGTCCTTGAGATCTCTTGCATAATTCCTCTTGAGTATCATCGCTCTCCATATTCTTCTTCAGTGGTGTCTTGGCAGGTTATGTTGAATTTCAATCTTTGTCCTTGAGGGAAAACTAGTGCAGCGTTTAGACATTAACAAATTGGTTTTCAACGAACAGCTTAGCCCTGCTGGTGCAGCCCAACAAAACAACTGCTGGTTCTGAACAAGATTTTACACATGACAGCCTCTCCTTGAGGAAAACCCTGAACAAAACCCTCTCTCTCTCTCTCTCTCTCTCTCTCTCTCTCTCTCCCTCTCTCTCTCCCTCTCTCTCCAAATAGAATAAAAATAAAAATTAACATTAGCGGCAAGTATATGCAAATTCAAAATAGAAAGGACATATGTCACTACTAGAGTATCTAAATAATACACAATGTATCAAAAACATTGAATAAATGGAATACTCATGGAATATCGGTATGTTTGTGCCAAAAACAAAAGTGTCGTAGAATGGGTATGAAAACTGCATCATTACACTGGGCCAAAGGCAAGTACACAGGGTGCAAACCTTTATACATACAGGCTATGGTGCAAACATGAGGTGGCCAAGTGGACAGTCAGTCATCCACACATGGGCTCACAGATATGTGTGTGTGTGTGTGTGTGTGTGTGGTGCGTGTGTGTGTGTGTGTGTGTGTGTGTGAGAGAGAGAGAGAGAGAGAGCAGAAGAACCTGGTTAATGTAATCCCATTATGGAGGTACAAGAGGGAGCAGTCACAGTGCTCAGCCCACACAATGGGCCGGCCTTCAGCCTGTAGCTATGCTCTGGATGGATGTTCCTGCCATGCAGATGGATCATCGTACAGCAGGCCGCCTCGGGCCCGAGCTGGAACTCACTCTCACAAGCAGCCATTACAATGGTAATAGGCAGTTGTTTCAAAATGAAATAGACTCTGCGGATACAATGCTTCCTATTTAGCAGACGTGTCGGCTGTCATGTCCTAAATCATACATATTTGTACACACAATGTCCATAATAGGTGGGAAAAACACATTTAATGTCTTATGAATCCATTTTTATTACAGCAATTTTGTTTTGCTATATCAAAATTAACAACCCCTACTGTTAAAGCATCAACACGAAAAGACCCACACCAGATGTTTTCATTTGTTCTGACCAGCATAGGCCTCAACCAGTGATGGAACAACAGTAAAATAGAAAATACTATACTTTAAAAAATACTCAAGTCACAAGTCCTGCTTTCAAAACCCTAGTAATAAAGTTAGTAAGGAAACAAGTATTGTCATTATATCTTACCTAAAGAACCAATAGTAAAAGTAGTTGCTATGGGTAATGACCCATTTCAGAATCATATATTTAATATTATTGGATTATGATTATTAGTGCATTCATGTGTTTACCACAGTTGGTAAAGGTGGAGCCTGGTTATATTATGTATAACAAGTATATGTCAATGTTTATTAATTAGTTTATATTTATATTTATGAGCTAATAATCTGAAAAGCAACTAGTTTCTAAAACAATATTGGCTTCCAATCGACATTGTAAAAGAGGCATAAAATGAAAATACTCAAGTATAAGTACCTCAAACTTGTACTTAAGTACTGTACTCGAGTAAATGTACTCTATTGCAATCCACTACTGGCCACAACTGTGTTTAACCACCAGGCTGGAGATTAAAGGCGTGTTGCTCAGCGGAGGGACAGCACACAGGCACATTTTGAAACTTATTTGTTGCTGTGTTCCATTTCATTATTGGAAAACACATCAGTTTTCCCCGCGGCTGCTCTGTGGCGTGTGGAGGATTCCTGCACACAGAAGAGGGGGACTGATAAAGATAGAATTGATTCCAGCCAGCAGCAGCGGCCATATTGAAGGGGTCTCGGTTTAGACCCGCAGCTAAACGTCTGCCTTCTCTGCAAGTCGTCACAGAGGCAACATCAATCTCCTGCCTCACGACTTCTTAAAGCCTGCCTTCTCTCCTGATGCCTTATCACTTCATCTGCAGGCGAGATTAAAGAGGTCACCTCCAAGTTTCCACAATCTAACTATAGGCTACCAAACATGGATACTGAAATGCAGGCTAGCTTTTAAAACAGTTTAAAGGGTAGGCTCTGTTTTTTTTCTATATTGAAGAAATAGTAGATATTGCAGAGGGTTGGATAAGAAGATTTAGACAGCTCTCATGTCAGCCTCTCTTAATATTACTTAACCCAAACAACCAAACTGAAATGTCAATTAGATTTCAAGGGGGACACATATTCTCACAGATTACGTTTCGTTTCGACCACATATACCGTACCTAATCTACATTCAGGTAAATCAGTATCGGGAGGATGTCAGGATGGATGGATTAGTTTAAACAAACAGGATTTTCTCCCAGTAGTAGACACAACAATAACACTTCTCAGTCAAAGTCAATTACAAATGAAAATGTGTACAGTAGGTTTGAAATGACACAGAAAACTCAGTGCAGTTTAGTTGTATGGGAACATAATAGGAGCCAGGGTTGCAAATATGGAGATACAGTATAGCCAACAGCTGGGTAGCTTAGCTTAGCATAGCATGAATACTGGGGGGAAAACAGCAAGCTGGCTTTGTGAAAATATTCACACAGTCCGCCTACCAGCATCTGTAAAGCGTACTAATTAACACATTATATAATCTTATGTTTTTCAAAGTGTACAACACGAAAAGTTGAGGTTTATAACTTAACTAACAGTCAGTCATTTCATAGAGTCCCAGCTGGTTGCCTTTCAAACTCAAGGAGATGATAGGAAACCTTTAATACAATACTGATATGCCATATTGAATATAAAAGAGCTATGGGTCGTTTCTCATGTCCCATATTTGAATATGCAGTTAAGAAATTGGGACATTTAAAAGTTCAGCTGAAGCTAATATGAGTCTTCAGCAGTCTTAGCCAAATTGACATAGTTTGGACAACGGGGGTGGAGACACGTTGGCATATCTGTGGGAACTGTTTGGCCATAAAGTGAATGACACGGTCCCAAACGAGATGAAGCTAATTGAAGTTCAGCATGAAACAGATAGGTGAGATCATTGAGATGTTAAGACCGGTGCCAACAAAGAGAAGAAATACCATTAAACTTAGTTAAACACAGAGGGCATTACTATTTAATAATGCACATAAAGCTCCAGCATTTCAACTCCCAATAGCAAATAGACCCAGCCCTTAAAAAAGCATTAAACATGTACCTTAGTTAAATAGTAATGCTATGATTTGCAGCTAAGTCTGAAATGCTTTAAACGTCTGCCTTCATCTCAACTAATGTGCTGTCTAAGAACTCACTTGATATTCTCCTGTCCACATTATTGTCTGAATAAAGAGGCTCATTTTCATTTAAATGTAATTTCTAAAACAATCTTGCACACTCACACACAACCACAATAAGTGATATTTGTAAACATTATGCGGAAAATTGTTCTTGAAAATAATCTTAATACACAACAAAACCCGGATAAGAGCAGACAATACGAGGGGACAATAAGGGAGAATTCATACTGTTATGAGTCCATCTATGCTCCAGTGAGCGCCTCGTTTCAATATAGATGAAGAAAGCGGGGCCTGAGGACAGCGCAGAGATATGCAGACACACATATCTGATGATGTACAGGCACATCCTAAAGAGAACACATTTTCTAGCTAGCCTTTTATAATTGTATTTTTCCCCCGTCCAAAAGGCCCTGGAGCTAGACTGGTATGCTCCATCTGAAGCGGTCGGTGTAGTAATGGGTCATAGTGATGCATTCATACTGGGACTGGCTTAATTGTATTATCAATCTCATCCAGACACTGCTGTAGCCCCACAGCTCTGGACATGCTACGGTCACACGCTCTGCATTAGTGTTGGGGAGTGAACCATGAGGAATTGCAATCTTCACTTTCATCTGTTTCTCAAACCTCAAAACGAAGAGTTGGACGATGTTTTGTTTTTTTATCAGAATTTGGGCACGACCGTCCCTCAGGTCTCATCTTCTTTCTGTCCGTCACTCTGCCTCTTTATCGTCTCCTCTCGGTGTGTCCAGTGTGTTGGCGGCCACAAGTCTGTTCCAATTTCACGCTATCTTTTAACAAGTTGATTATGTTGAGCCCTACAAAGAAGGAGAGGTGGCGGAGGGACAACTAGCCAGGTCGAGTCTTAGTTGTTCTCTCTTGTTTTGTGTCTCCCTCTCCAAGCACTCTCCCTCATGGCTTTTCTCTTCTCTTCTCTCAGTGTAACTTATTTTCCTCTCTTCCTCAGTAGTAATCTTTGCAGCAGCTCCAGTGTTGGAGCAGAGTCAGGGAGATAAAAGCATAGGGGAGCCGAGGAGTCCTTGGCAAGCCTAAGGCAAGGAGAAGGTCAACAGGCCTGCCTAAGAAGGGCTGTTATCATCTTGGTAACATGTTATCGGAGAGCCCGCAGTAGTGTTTATTTACAGTTATTGCTCCCTCTGGGTGCACACTTCAACGCCTGGGGCTGATTGCTCTGTAATGAGTTCAGGAACACAAGGAGCCGATGCAAGAAAAGAAGAAAAACAAGGAAGGCAAGAAATCACTGGCCAATAACCAATAGGTCAACGAGAGAAAAAAAGAATCAAGAAAGAACAAAAAATTTCGGAGAACCAGACGGAAAAGAAAGTGTATTCTTCGAGCGAAGACTGTTTTTCTTTGTAGTGCTTATGTCCTGCCATTCAAGAACAAACAAATCACAGCAAAGTGGACAGCAGTTTCCTTCCGCAAATGAAAGAAAAGCCCAGTTAATCCAGTACTGCAGTAAATGGCTCTTGACCTGGAGTCGGCTGGGTTTGTTTAAAGGAAGGACTGCCGCCTGGACTTAAACACTTGATTTCCATCTCTAATATCCACAAACTCCCTCTTGTAATTTACTTAACCAGTAGAGCTTTCGCTGTATGTATTTGCTTGACCAGTCCAGTATTGTGTGTGCTAAGATTGGAGTTTATTTAAGAGGCTAAAAGGTGAACAGTGAATCCAGGAGATGAGCAAATCAGGAGAGAGGACGTGTGTTAATCCCAGCGTGGGTTTTGAGGAAATCTCTCATTGTGGAACAGCTTTTCAATCTAGGGAATTACATTAAGTGCTGCTACTGTCAATGCAATGCCAGCTTTTCAGGAAGAAATAAAAAAAAGCAGGAAAAGGCAGAACTGAATTCCACTGAAAGGCATTGGCAGAAGATCAAGGAGGTTTTCAGCAATCATTTTTCCAGGCACAGCACCCAGCTATCGGGCAATTAAGAGAAATTAAGATGGGGGGAAAAAATACATATACTGTATGACAAAATCCCAGATTACAAAATCATGTTTTTTTTCTAGAATATGTACATACAGCATATACAAGTCAATTTATCCTATGATAAGCTAATCCCTTTTTATACCATCGGTTATGGGCGATTAAGAGACATAATTAGGTAACTCAAATTAGACGTAATTCATCAGAGAAGTGTGCAGGGAGCTTTTCTAGGAGGAAGTTTTTAAATCACAGCAGGAGGTTGTAGATGATGCCAGATTCATGATGAAGGAATGATAAATGAGATCACTTCATTTCAGGAAGGACTCCAAGCATCGCTGCGTTATGTTGGGATTAAAGTCTGAACATGAACAGGATGGGAAGACACCCTCAAGAACTAAAATGAGTAAAAGTTAGAAAAATGTTTTGTTACATAAACATAAGGCTGGATTACAGAAAGCATTATTTAGCAACTTTATAGTAATCCTCCGATTTTGCTCTGAAGGAGAAAGCAGTTTGACTTTGACTGACGGCATAAATGTTGTCTGTTACAATAGTAAGTTGGCATTTGTCTCCCTGCTACTTAGTTAAAAAAGAAAATGTCCTTCTCTTATAATGCTTTAGAGTGCAAACAAAGCTTACAGTTTTTGTATCAAAACAAAGTAACAAAACTACGGAAGAGGATTAGGGCCACATGAAAAAAAAAAGAAGTGGGGTTTTTCAAGTGGCCCTAATCCTGTTCCGTACGAAACAACGACACAGAAACAGTAACAGAAATGTAGGGTTCATTTTCAGATGTTTCCTCAAAGTGCGTTCATTTTGTTTTGCGAATATCGGGTCGAACTTTAAAGGGGACCTATCATGCAAAATGCACTTTTTGATGTCTTTTCTACATAAATATGTGTCCCCGGTGTGTCGGGGAACTCACGCATCGTCAGAAAATAAAACCCTCTCTCTTTTCCTCCGTACCCAAATCTCTAAAAACGGGGGTACAACGGAGCTGATCCAGATTTGCGTCCGATATGACGTAATATCTGAAATGTGGACCCACGGCCCAATCAGAAACGTTGCTAAAACAATGCCCGACTGTTTTGGACGTAATATGGTCGGTGTTTACATTAGCATCGCTAACACTCAGAGCTAACCTGTACTGGAGAGCATGTGTGTGAAGAAGCAGGAAATAAAAAGGAACTCACCTTGTGGTATAACCGGCAAGAGAGAAAGCCTTTGAGCTCCATACTGTTTCAGAGAGAATCCTTGATAATCCATGATATGGCGTTTCATCAGTAAAATCTCCCGCATGAGCTCAGCCCACCACTTTATACCCAAATCAGCACTTTTGAAACAGGAAGTGAAATAGAGGGATATGAGGCATGGCTAGAATGGGTGATCTGTTTGGTATTTTGAGCAAAACACTTCATAGACATGTTTTTTATATATTTTTTATAACGATAAATAAGATCAGAAAGCGTCGCGGACAGAGGGGGGGGATGTGCAATGAGAGTTCTACGATGAACAACAGAAGGAAAATATTTATGGAGCATAGGTAAACAGAGACTTGTAGGTTACATTAGCTGTTACGAAATTACCTTTTGAAATATGGTGAATCATAGGACGAAAGAGTTGTCCTCTCAAATCTGAGCGACTGGCTGTAATAAGGTAGTTTCGTAGATTGGTGATGGCCGTGATTGGAATGGAATGTTAGGGGAATGTCAGTGTGTTGATTATTGTTTGCGATTGCTGGGTTAGGATCATGGTGGAAATGTTGTAAGGACCGTCTATTGGGTGTTGAAGAGAGCGTCGAATACAATCTTCTATTCGTTATTATGTCTTCTGATCATTCGAATATGGATTCCCTGTTGAAGTCGGTTACGTCGTCAGACTCTTTGGCGTTCACCCTTCTCACGTTTATATTGTGGTAGATAATTCCTATTGCACGCACACGTGGGTGTGTTCAATTAGTCTCAACAACCCTGTGAACACTCGTTACGTTGATTCATGTCTTATGGTTAAGAATGTATAATATGTTTACACCTCTCCTTTATACAATTGTGTATCGAATTGGCGTCTGTACGTCTTGTAACACTAATTTCTCAGCACCGAAGACCAGTGGAGATCAAGGGTTAACAGTGAGCGGAAAATCGAGACAAAAACCAGACGTGGTTGAGGACCAGTTTATATATTATGGGCTTTGTACAGAGCTACAAGTGGTCGAACTATCGTTAAATGTGCTGTTAGTGTAATTTTATAAAGTCGTTCGTCTCCCCGAAGATCACTATTGAAATCTCAACGTGTCACAGAGACACTCGTCGAGAAAATGTAATTTCCAGTGAGGAGGGGGCGGTCGGAGGGGGGGGGGGGGGTTTTTTTGGTGGTGGCTTTTTTTGTTTGGGGCGGGGCCGCGCGTGACAGTACGATAAAAAATCCGTTATCGTAGCCAGAGANCACAATCCGTGTATCCGTCATTTCCTGGTCTTCTCTAAAGAAGAGGGACCAATGAAAACGTTGTAATTTTGCCGTTGTTCAGCATCGAAACATTCCTTAGCTAACAATGACATTATTGTTCTATTAATATAAAGGGAGGTCAGGTACTCTTTAAAACAGCTGGTAGCTATGGGTACTATTTTTACTTAAATACAGTTCGAAGCCCATTCTTCTTTACTTTTACTTGAGTAAAAAGTTTAGTCAGTACTTCTAGTTTTACCAGAGTAATTTTAAACACGAGTATCTGTACTTCTACTTGAGTAAAGGATGTGTGTACTTATGCCATCTCTGCATATAACATCAAATCCTGACCCTCTCAGATAAAAAAAAACGTTCTTTCTCTGCAACCAAAGTCTAAACCCTCTTGAACTTTGTATTTCAATGTACAGAATCTTACTTTGTTCATGTCAAACGTGCGGAACATCTGCTCGATGTAGGTGTTGGCCTCCTGGTCCAGGCCACGCAGCCCGAAGAACTGCTTGAACTCGTGCAGGGTGAGCTGACCCGAGGGACACTCCGTCATGAACTTCTTGTACCAGAGGTGCATCTCCACCGCCTGCAGGTCGTCCACGGTGCTTGAGGATGAGTTACCCATTCCTCTTTGACACCTGAGTGTGTAGGGAGAAGATACCTTGAACCTTTTTTCTGCAGCTGCTGGTCTACTGTGAAGGGGATGTTATCCCTCGTCACAGTCACACAACAACAGGGCTAAGGGGGAGAGCAGCAGCTGATGGGGGGGCCTTTTGTAGCTGGGGACGTCCTCCTTGGGTCTAATCCATAGACTGTATATATAAAGATCTAATCACTGTCTGTAAGCCGGACAGAGGCAGATGATCAGCATAATCGGCCCATTGAAAGGCCAGGTGGACTTCTCCATCCATATTTACCACGAGAACTGCTGACACACAAGATGCAGCTTTCATCTGTGACGTGGAGACGAGGGACATCCATCACATAATGCATCTGAACTGAGGACTCCAGTATGAGTGGAGCAGGTGTTGTGTTCTTGTTTTACACTATGCACATTAAAAAACACACTACTCAGCAGATTGAGAATTCATAAAAAATGATCTTTAGTTGCTGCTCTATTTCTGAGATTTGCAGAATCAAATCAAATCAAAATCATGTCTCAAAACATATCTTGCACCTTGATGCATTTTTCCCCAGTATTTTCCGTTTTAGCCTATTTTTCCGGTTATATACAGTACTACGTCTATAACACTGTCTTACCACATCACACCAACATTTCTATTTTTCTATATTTAAACTGAAAAACCTAAGTATTATTACTTAGTCACAGTGAAAATTATTCAGTTTTATGCCTACAATGTTAACATGCGACTTCCTATTATAATCATACCATCTCACTTTACCAAATAACTTTGAAATGTGATAATTACCCTTGCATAGTTCATGTATCTTATGTTAGTTTTTGTTTAACCATGTGAGGCACTTTGTAACTTTTTTCTTAAAAGGTGCTGTAAATAAAAACATTACTATATATTCGATTTTATTGCGATACCACAGTTTAAAACCAAGAAGGCATGGCTGATTGTTACAGTGATTAAACATAACAGTTAGCGTCATTACTTTAAAAACAATGCAAAAAGCTTTTTGATCTCAGTGACGATACCAGAAACAAGTAAAAATAATAAATCCATCATGTCTTAGTGCTTCTGTATGAAATGAAGTCTCACTTCCTAAATATACATTTCTTCATATCTTCCTAAGCAGTATTGTGTTAGTGGTATTTAGCAGATAAGTGCAGTTAGTGTTTCCAACAATGCTTTCTTAAAACTTCATTAGTCATTAAAACAGACAAATAACACAGATATATACTGTACATGTTAGTGCATAAACTGGAAGCTAAATGAGCTATAAAAAAATGTGAAATGTGATATGAAAATATATGCACTAATACAAAACAAAAAATAAAGTAAATTAGTAAATCATTAGTAAATGCAGCTGTGGGTCCTTTTAAAGCAACATTTCACTTCCAATTTTGTAATTTCTCACATCGACATTTAAAGAATGGTTTCATTCATAGTAGTTGCCTCTGGAATACATTCAGGAGCAGCGTAACTGGCCATAACACTTGCAAAGTAGGATAAGAGTTTCAGATTATGGCAGGAAAACCACAGGAAGCATAATCTCCACAGGAAGCTCATTGTTCATTCAAGGATTTGCATTACTAATAACACATAAGAATTGGCTGCTCGACAAAAACAATATATTTTGCAGCAAAATTAAATATGCTTCAGACAGGCACCGATTTAAGAAAATCTACATTTGGCTGGTAGCTTTCAATCAAAAATCCTACACCTGCTGTAGTGCAATAATGAGGCAACACATTTTACTCTAGTTTGCATTACCCTGTAACCCATTTGCATTAACAGCAGATATGAGTGACGAAACGCAGCAACAACTTTACCTCACAAATAGAGCAATATTTTCCAACATTTTGGAAGAGCTTTAAGACAAATTCAAATGATGGAATACACATATAAATGTAACCACATATAACAAATAGCTATATTTAGAAGCTTAAAAAAGTAAACAGCTATATATTTTCAGTAAGGCCTCATTATCCTTCTTCATATTCAGTTTCCAAATCCCCTTCAGGTTCACGGTTGGGGTCTTTGTGGTTGTCTCAATTTGGCCTTAGGTGTAGACAACACATTTAAATAAGTTTAGTCAATGTTGATGATCCATGTCAGAGCTCGGACAGATATCTCTGGCACCTCCACCAGCGACATGTATCCTCTTTCCCCAGTGCAGATATTTGTAGATGGAGTCAAACACTGACACCGTGTAGCGTGCAAACAGGCTGGTCCACTTCACTGCGTCCACCATCCACTGCACTGTGCGCCCCACAAAGGCCACAAACACTGTGGTGTAGTGAAACAGCAGCAGCAGACTCCTCCCAAGCTGCTTGCCATGGTTGATGATCATGATCAAACTTTGTTCATGTCCTGCCATCATTATACTGTTTGGAGGTTAATTTAATGTTTTAAAAAAAAAAGTATATTAAATGCAGATACTCCCTAGAAAGTACACGCCTGTCAATTTGCAGACAGTCCCTTATACACGCAGATCGCGGCTGTCCAATCAGAACACAGGAAATGTTGTTTCCGGGAATGTTTGGTGATGTGGCTATGCTCTGACATCCATCCGAGGAAATATATCACATAAAAAGCAGATACATTCACCTGGAAAGCACTCGAACAGGTGAGTCAAAATGTCCTTCTTTTTAAAAAAAAAGCTCCACCAGTCAGGCTGCAAAGTAGAGCTGTCATCCGTCAAGGAGAAAAACTCAGCAGTGCATTTTTTAAGAAGCTGTCCTTATTTACCAGCGTTAGATAGCATTAAGTAGCATTAGCTTACTTACTGTAATTGTGCAAACTACAGCCAGAGTAAACACCGGGTGTCTTGGCACAGTGTCCCCTTCACACTGCTCTTTCTTAATTTTAAGATGTGTCTTCTAATTTTTAAAGACACCGTTGTCCAACCTCTTGCAAAGTTTGCCGTCCATTTTCGCGTTAGCTAGCTATAATCGTTGCTGTTCACAAAAAGAGTGACGCAGCCGCAGTGGAAAGTCAGGCTGGTTCGGAGGAAGTCGACTTTGTTCGATCCAACTCGGAGAAGATAGGTCGGGGATCTCTGCCAATGTGTTGCTTTGCACATATTTGCGTGAGGGGGAAAGGCAAATAATTACAAAATATGGGAAAATTTTAGCACAGAATAAGTTGAATAGTTATTTCTGTAAGCATGGTTCTGCAAAATGCCTTGTTCTGAAAATAACAAAATATAGAAAATAATGTAATATTCATGTTCATTCTAAGTTGTTAATATTTGTACACAATTGTAACAGCACTAAATTCCTACGCACAGTTAAAGAAGGAGCCATGAACATGGAATTCTTTATCACACTTATTGACTAAATGTAAACAGGAATGAATGTTTTAGAAGCAGATAAGGAAATATTTGACCATCATTACTGATGTTATATTGTTCCCCCTCACAGTGGCATCTTTATGTTCAGCCGTCTGGCCACAGTCCTCCAGGAGCTCTCTGGAGAGGAGGGCCAAGATGGAGACCCACAGGTAAGAAAGCAACAGTACAATATGAAAAATCCTTATGAAGGGTTTTGCTCAATGTCGTTTACTTTTCAGCTAAAGATGTAATAATATCTGGTCCAATTTCAGCTGTTTTTACCTGTTCGTTTTACAAAGTTAACCATAACAAATAAACGGACCTTCTCTCTTTCCTTGAGCAGGGCATGCTGGTGCCTCAGCTCCCCGCCGGTGAGGGCCAGGCTCCAGGGGAGTCAGAGGCCCCTGAGGAGGCCTTGGAGAGGCTGGCTCATCTGGAACAACTGGTGGTCCAGCTGAAGGAGCTCATCCGAGAAAAAGACACTGAGCTGTCTGACAAAGATGCAAAGCTCAAGGTAAATAACCTGTGTGTGTGAGTCTGCTATCGAGAGTCCAAAAGTCTCTTAATCGTATTCTTTGTGCCAATGTCTTTTATCAATTAGCGCTTATGTTTTTTTGCTTTATATCCACAGAATGAGAAAGACGAAGCTGAGGCCCGCTTCACCAAACTCAAACTGCAGGCCAAAGCCAAGATGGCTTCACTCAGCAAACAGATCACTGAGCTGAAAGGACAAGGAGGGGCACCGGTGCGTTTGAATAAGGCTTAATACAGGGTGCCTACTAGGGCTGCACGATATTGGAAAAAACGGACTTTGCAATTTTTCTTCCCCTGCGATATATATTGCGATATGAAAACATACAGGAATTGAAGAAAAGACCGTTTTTTTTCCCCGCAAACCATCCTATCTTGAACTTTAATGCTATACAATTGGTATTTCTTTAACTATATTTAACCGGATGAAGGATTTTAGTCACGGACGTCTGGATCTTAAGTTATCAGAGCAACAAGCTGAGCTAGCACGGTTAGCAGCGCCGAACTGCCCCGGAGAAACACATGAGACTACTTTATTCAGTGTTTTTACCTTTAATCACGGGGTCCGTTTGCTTTGGAGATTTGATTGTGATTGGTGGCTTGCTGTGCATGCTGAGCCTGCATGTCACTCACTCAAGTACCCCTGACATGAGAGCCGCGCAAGTTTTCCTTTTGTAGCAAGCAGCAAAATAATTGTAACATGACGTGTTTGAGTTAATTTGCCTACTTAATATCACACGTCCACGCGATGTGAATATTGCGCATGCGCATATCGCGATTATCGTCACGATATATCGTGCAGCCCTAGTGCCTACCATGTCGAGTGTAATCCTTGAAAATTGAAAAAAGTACATGGAGAGTGCTTTAAAGTCCTGTAATTTCTTCTTTAAATATGTGTATAAACACTTAAAATGGTCATGGTTGTATGATAGTAGCAAAACATCCTCCTATATAGACTGAGATATGCCTCTTGTTCACTAAAAACCAACAATAAGACTCAATGCTTTTATCTGATTCCAACATCTGCTTTGTCTACAGCAGAGTCCAGACAGCTCTTTCACTGGAGCCGGTCCTGCAGTCGAGGAGGAGCTCCAAGAACTGAGGAACAGGCTGAGGGAGGAGGAGGCGAACAGCAGAGAGCTGCAGGAGCGACTCCAGACCACAGAGAAAACCCTTCAGGACAAGGAATGTGCCCACGCTGAACAGGTGACATAGCTGTGTTTATAGCAACATATAGACATATTGTGTTAAACAATTACAGAGTTCATTCATGATTCTGCTTTCTAAATGAATTCTTGTGCTTTTGTTTTCAGTTGCAGAAACTGCAGGCTGTGGTCTGTGAGAAGGACGTGCGTTTCCAGGAACAGATCCAGAAACATGAAGAAGAGCTGCTGGGGGTCACAGCACAGTCTCAGAGTGACGGCCAGCTTCAGCAGGTACAACACCCAAGAGTGCTTTAAATAACTTACATTCAAAGTGAGGATTATATATTTATCAACCCATTTAACCCCTACTCCAAGAATTTGTTTGGTTTTCCTTCTCTTTCTATTCTCTTTTTGTTGATTTGTATAGCTACAACTTACTAATATAGTGATTATCAATTAGTCTGCTTGTTATTACCGCAAATAAACATAGGTTAATGAAATGCCAATTTTGTTAAGTCCGTTTTTTTTTGACAATACAATCTCTGCAACATACAGTATAACACCTTCTAGGCCTAACATAGCCGATGAACACGAGCTAATCACTTTACTCTGAAGGAAACGGATAACTGGCAAATCACTGGAATTTGCTTCTGATCATCTTAAGGGGTGAACACAACAAGCAATGCTTTTTTAGCTTGTAAAATAGCAAATGATGTCCACACATCACAGATTCATTCACCATTAATACAGTCATTTGGTCACTATGTTGTTCTGCTCTCCCAGGCCCTGAATGCAGCACAGAGGCGCTGTGAGGAGCTCGAGGAGGCCTTCAACTCTCGATCCCAAGTGCTGGAAATGCTGCAGCAGGAAGTGAGCAGCGCTGATCAACAGAAACAGGTACGGAGATGGATTTAGTGCATGTGGACTGTTCTGCACACTGTTATTCTTGCTCCTGCTAGATGAAAAGAAAACTGTTCAAACAGACACACCCTCATCTTGATGGCACAACATTATTATGCATTGTTTGGCGTAGCCACACAAAACACACCCACTCAAGTCCTGCTTCTCTCTTGTCTAATTTCTGCACAGATCCTGACTGCTCAGTTCCGGCAGATGGAGCAGGAGCTGGCCGAGGCCGCCCTGCAGCGGGAGGAGGAGAGGCAGCAGTGGAGCGGACAGGCCAGCAGGGCCGATGCAGAAGTGGCAGCCCTCAGATCCAGCCTGGAGGACTTGGAAAGGGACAGGGCGGAGCTGGTGAGGCAAGATGGTGAGCTGGCCGCTTTGAGAGAGGCAGAGCATGGGAATGTGGAAGCTCTGGAGAGGGAGAGGATGGAATTCGCCAGATTGGAGAGAGAGCTGTCTCTGATGAAAGAGGCTGAATTCGCAGCTGTACAAGCCAGCCATGATGCTTCAGAGAGCGACAGGGCGGAAATACTGCGGCTTGAAAGCGAGCTTGCATCCCTGAGAGAGGCTGTTGTTCATTCCAGCGAGGACGCTTCAGAGAGGGAGCAATCAGAAGTAGATAAGCTGGAGCAGGAGCTGGCCTCACTGAAGGAGGAACATGAAGATGCCCAGAAGAAGGGGGAGGTCTTGGCTGAGATTTGGAAACATCTTCGGTTTTTGGCTGTCGAGGATGAGCAAGCAGCGGAGGAAGTCCCCGTCCCTTCTGACCTCTCCCTGTTCCTGGACACTGTGCAGACTATTGAGACACAACTGACCAGGCTGAGAGAGGAACGCAGTGAGAGCGAGGAACGCTGTGCACATCTCACCCACACCATGGAAACCCTTCATGGTAACATCATGTGTTTATGAAGTTATGTGTGTTTGTGTCAAGCCTTGTTATTAAGATGCTATAACATGAATCTTCAATTTTCAGATCAACTTGACAGAAATACCACAGAACATGAGGAAACCGCTGCCAGGGTACAACAGCTGGAGCATAACATTATAACAGTGAGTGCTAAGACAATGTAACTTCTGATATTTACATATGATCTGTAGCTGGATGCATTATCCGAGTCATGGCAGACTTTTGCATTTATACCTTGTATTTAATCGTTGTCCTCCGATTTCCTTCTAAACAAATTTAGAAATATACTCATCATTTATTGTTACAATTACACTATTGAACTATAACGACTCTCAGTCCTACATTGCGATGGAGTTTATAAGACTGTCCATACCTACCGGTAAATGGAAAGTTTTGTTTTTCATTCTTTTTTACTGACTTACAGTTGGACATGTTTCTTCAATCTAATGGTATTTTGTGTGTGAACGTCATTTCTGTACAAAGTGAGAACATTTATAGGTACATATTAGTAATTAAGTCAGATTTATCTTATTCGGCCGATAGGAAGAGTTTGGTGACCTGTCAACTCGCTGGGCAGGTTCTCTTCTTTAAATTGTGGTCATGCTGCACGGATCACAGTCACACATATCTGAGGAACGATCACAATGCGAGCCTGGCCACCTAAAAATGTGGTCAATCCGGTTTTGTCACATTCCAAACAGAGCATTTTGCATGCACTCACACCAGCTATGATTTATAAACATCATGCTAATGCTAGGCTGAAGAAGAAGCAACTTGTTTTGTATACAATGTAAACTTGTATAGAAGCTCTGCGAGGCTCTGCACATGCTTTAACTTCAAAAAAATGTTATTGTGGGACTAAAAGCTTGGTATAGACTGAGGTGTAAAAAGTAGTTCTTAATATCTACAATGTCAGACCGCTGTGTCATTGTATTTTCCTCTTTCATTGATATACCGTTTGCACAGTCGGCTTTTATTTAGCGAGTAAAGGACAAGCTGACTGCTCTTATCCTCTGAAATGAAATGTCCCTTATCCCCTCTGCACTGATCAACTGTTATACCTTACTGACTTATCCCGTCTTCACTTAAGGCCATAGATAGTGCTGACATAGATTTAAGGACAATGATAGAAACCATGTCAAGCTTTTTAAAGGGTGTCTTTAGTATATGTTTTAATAATAAGGTCAACAAACATGTAATTCTGCAATTTCAAATGTGTTTGTTTCAGACACCTGAAAGAGATGATGTGACTGAACCATCGGGCCAGGATTCAACTGAAGCTAAGCATGGTACACAAATTGGATTTGTCTTTCCAAAATAAAACTCATACATTAAATGGAAGCATACATACAGTCAAACAAATAAAGAGCTCTTAGTGGCTAGGCCACTTTAAAAAAAAGAAAAAGATTTGAGCTATAACTTGTGTCAGCCAGTGATGTTTTGCTACATTATACTTCTACTCCACAACCTTTATTTTACAACTATAGTGATTTGCTACTACTACTGCTGTAGATTTTGAATTCTTTATTTTGTGACAGTAGTTATATAAAATAACAAAATCGGTGTGCCATTCAATTACATTTTGAGAATTCAAGAAGTAACAGAAATGCTAAATCCCATCTCCTGTTATTGTCTTTCACAGAGCACATACTGGAACTAGAGCAGCAGCTTTTAGAAAGAGACAATGAGCTGCTGGCCTTGCGAGAGTCCCTCAGACAGGCCACTGAGCAGAGCGCCAGTGGGGTAGCATCGTCTGAAAACTACGAACAGACCCCAGATCAGGGTCAGGATGCAGATACGCCCCCCCATGACAGTTCTGCAGCTCTTTCTGGCTTCATGGAGGATTCACGTGACGACGAAACCACCTTAGTTGCCGAAGACACGTCAGTCTTCTCCATGTCTGCTGGTACTGAGAGCAGCCCAGAGCTCATCGGAGACCAGTCTGAGTCCCCGGAAGAATCCAAAGGAGCCTCCTCAGATGAGATGGTGGCCAGTAGTGATTCAGAGGTGGCCCACAGCAGCTGGACCCTCCTGGAAGCTTTGAATCAAGATGGAGGCCAAGAGTGGCCGTCCAACCTGCAGGACTTTAGCCAGCTGCAGTCCTGGGAGGCGACGAGCATGGAGCAGGAAACCTCCACAGTTCAAGTAGAGTCCTCCTCTGTCATTATCAGAGAGACGGTTCAAGTTCACGTGACTCAGCAGAGTTCTTCCACCACAGAGGGCATTATATCCTCTGGTCAGGTCTTTGCTCAGGCTTTAGCAGAGGAGCTTCAGAAGAGGTACGGTGAGATTCTGGCTGAGCTTCAGGGGCTCAGAGAGGCAGCTGCAGAGTCACAGGAGAACATCAAGAGCTTGGAAGAAGAGACACAGTATCTCACTGCTGCCAAAGAAGAAGCAGAATCCCAGTCCAATCGTTTTGAAGAGGAACTTCAATCCACCAGAGAGGAGATGGAAAAGCTCTCTCAGAACAGCAGCTCTGGGGTGGAGAAATATGGTGTTGAAATGCAGCTTCTAGAAGAACAGATAGACATTTTGAGCAGTGGAAGTAAAACTAAGGAAGAGAGGATCCAGGCCCTGCAGGCAGATCTGGAAACAGCTCAACAAGCTTTCTCAGAGCAGGAGGGGCATGTCAGGATGCTCAGTGCTCAGCTGGAGGACAGGGAGCTTCTCTCCTCTGAGCTCCAAAGGAGACTCCAAGAGATCGAAAACAGCATGTTGGAATCCTCTCAGACATCAGAGCTCAACAATGACACTCTATCAAAGAAGGACACGGAGATCAGCGAGCTGCAACTCCTTCTCGGACAAAAGGAGCAAGAAGCGACGGAGCTCAATGACAGTATGTCAGCAAAACTCCTCCAAGCAGAGGAAGAGAAGTTCCAGAGAAATGGTGAAGTCAAATCGCTGAAGGAGCAGATAGTAGACTTTGAGAAGGTCAGAGACGAGAAACAGAAAGAGACTTCTGAAGACTCAGGCGCTCAGGTAGATGATGAACTCACTAGTGTGCGAAAGGAGAAAGGAGTGCTGGAGACCCAACTGATGACCACCAAGAAGAAGTTGCAGGCTGCACTTGTGCAACGCAAAGAGCTCATGAAGAAGGTTGCTGATTTCGATGTAGAAGTGAAGACATTGAAAGAGCGAGAGGTTGAAACTCCTGCAGACATCCCAGAGGCAGAGCAATCCAGAGGGCAGGAGATCCAGGAAATGGAGGCCAAACTCCTCGAACTCCAACAAACTTTGAGAACCAAAGAAGAGGCGGTCGAGGCCCTCGATCTGAAGATGACTCAACAGGATCAAGTTCTCACTGAAACACTGGCTGTGAATAAAAAGCTAATTGAAGAAGCTGAAAACTCTCAGCAGGCTGACGGTCCCCCTGAAATAACTGCGTTACAGTCCCAACTGGCCTCTCTTGAAGCAGAGTGCGAAACCCTTCAGAAGAAAGTTCAGGAGGCTCAAGAATCTCGCAAGGAAACCATCCGCAAAGCCAAAGAGAAAGACAGGCACCACCGGGAACAGCTGAAGCAGCAGAAAGAAGAATACAGCGAGCTCGTAGAACGATCTGAGGAGCAGAGCGCGGAGAGAGAAGTGCTTCTGACTAAGTTGAGAGAATTAGAAGAACAAATAAGCACTGAACCTCCCAAAGAGGCCAAGCAACTGGCTGAACACATGGAAAAGCAAGCAACAAGTGATTGGGTCCAGGAGGAATGGGTGGATTTTGCCACGTCAGAGACAGATTCATCACAGCCACAAGCAAGTCATCCGGTCCAGCAACCTGCAGAGCAGTCGCTCTTTTCTGAACAAATAGATGAGTCTTTGCAAGCCCTCAGAGCAGAAATCCAGAGCGTGCGGATGGCTAACGCAGAGCTAGAGAAGCAGCTGCTGGAAACCCACACCAGTTTGTCAATGAAGGAGGCTGAATTATTGGAGCTGGGCGAAGAGCTGCAGGCACTACGAGAAAAGGAAAGACAGATTGATGCACTCTCAGAGGAAGTGAATGACCTCAGAGAAAAGTTTCACCAAGCTGAGGCTTACGCTGAAACCCTGAAAGCAGAGATGGAAATTGCAGCAAAAGCAACCTCTGAAGATTCTACCACCTCCATCACAACTCTTCAGGCCGAGGTGGAGGACTTCAAGGAGTTCCTCGACAATAAGAACCTTGAGATCATGGAGCTAGGTCAGCAGCTTAGCGAGCAGAAGTCTCTCATACACTCCATGCAGGACACGGTGTCTCAGAAGGATCAGCTGATAGTTTCTTTGCAGGAAGAACTGAATGCTGAGCAAGAAAAATCCCAAAGGTTAGAGGTCGAGGTTCCACAGAAGCAAGAGGAAGGAAAAGACAGCGAGGCAAAGGTCCAGCAGCTCCAAAGGAAACTTCAGGCTGCTTTGATTTCTCGCAAAGAGGTCTTAAAAGAAAACAAAACCAAAAAGGAACAGCTGGCTGAAACTGAGAAGCTCATTAAAAAGCTGAAGCACAAAATGGAGTCCGCTGAAAATGAGCTGGAGAAGCTGAGAGCGGAAAGAGTCAGACTGATTGATGAAGTTGACCGGACATTAGTGGAAAACCAAAGCTTAGGATCGACCTGTGAGAGCCTCAAGCTGGCCATGGAGGGCGTAGTGAGTGAGAAAGACGCCTGTAAGAGGGAAGTGGAGCTGGCCAAAGAAGAGGCCGCCAAAGCCTGCAGAGAATGGGAGGAGAAGGTTCAAGGCATGAAGGACGAGTACGAGACTCTGCTCAAGTCGTACGAAAACGTGAGCGACGAGGCCGAGCGAGTGAGGCGAGTCCTGGAAGCCGCCCGGCAGGAGAGGAAGGACCTCGCGACCAAGGTGAGGGCCCACGAGGCCGGGAGGCAGGAAGCTGAGAGGCAAGGAGAAGAGGCACAGAAAGAGGTGGATTTGGTGAAAGACAAAATGAGAAAGTTTGCCAAAGGAAAGCAGCAGAAAATAATGGAGTTGGAGGAAGAGAATGAGAGACTCAGAGAGATGCAGGACAAGACCGTGGTAAAGCGAGAGGGAAGGACTCTCAAAGCAGAGGCTGAAAGACTTCAGGATGAGCTGGGGGCTTTGAAAGCTGACTTGGATTCTACTGTGGCAGAAAGAGACTCGTTAGGGCAGCAGATTGAGGAACTGAAGGAACAGCTTGCCCAAACAGGACCGACAGAGGACACTATAACTAATGCAGCTGTTGAAGAAGAGGTAGTCACTGCCCAGCAATCAGATATAACCATGACCACAGCAGAGCCTGTTGAGAGTCAGAATGAAGACAAAGAAACACAAGCTGAACAAATAGCTGCAGCGCCTGCACCAGAAACACACTCTGAGGAAAAATCAGAAATGACTGAAAGTGTTTTATTAGAGGAGAAAATGAGGGAGATGGAAGCAGCTGTCAATTCAGAGAGGAAACTGTGGCAGGAACAGGAAGCTCGACTCAAAGCGGAGCTGGGCTCTCTTGAGCGAGATCTCCAGGAGAGTAAAGAGAAGGGGAGCCTGGTGGCCTCTCTGGAGAAGTGCCTCCAAGAGGGCAAAGAGAGAGAAAGGAGCCTGGTGGAGGAGGGTGCCAAGAGGGAGGCGCAGTTCAAAGAGCTGCTCAGGAGCCTGGAAGCCGAGAAGGACAACCTGGAGGAGCGTCTGATGAACCAGCTGGCCCAGCTCAACGGCAGCATCGCAGACTACCAGCAGGAGGCGGCGGACAACCGGGAGCATTTGACCGAGCTGCAGCGGGAGGTGGAGCGGTTGTCGCCAACCGCTCCACCTCCCGCTGCAGCTCGGTCAAATGCTCCCGGTTGTCCGCCGCCTCCTGCTGGTAGTCTGCGATGCTGCCGTTGAGCTGGGCCAGCTGGNGTGTGCCTCACAGAGCCCTGAAGGACGGACTAGAGACCTCCAGCATGTGTCCCTGAAATGTGGACTCAGGTTATTTCACACATCCAGGTCAGAGACCGGGGAAATCACCTCTCTGTGGCCCCTCCAAGACCCCCAAAGGACGGACCACAGACCTCCAGCATGTGTCCCTGACATGGGCACCTCCATAACCTTGCACACCGTGAGTCCCCGGACCCCCGGACTTAAGCATTCCCCCACGGACTAAACCCAGATGATCACACCCTACAGAACCTCATTCCCCTGGTAACCCTAAAAGGGGGGTGGATTTTGCGGTGCTTTACCGTCCGCCCATCGGCATCCATATTCGGCCTTATTCACGGCACCACCACCCCTTCTGTGGAGGATATTCTCATGCTCCTGGTAACCCTTTAAATAGTCTGATACTATCAGGGCTCATCACCGCACTTTACAAGCCAGAAATCATGTTTAAATGGTCGGGAAAAACGTCTGGAAGAGAGTTTTAGCCTGTCATTTTGCACGATATCATTTAACATTGAACCTCTCCTGGAAATGCACAGAATATGTCATTTTCAGAAGAGGGTCCATGTTAAATGATATCGTTCAAAATGACAGGCTAAAACCCAGGAATAAGTGCTTGAAAGGCGGAGAAAAGTTGTTTAAATTAGTCTGATACCTCCAGGGCGCACCGCATTTTACAAGCCGGGGAAGGTGTCTGAATCCTGGGTAAACATTGTTTAAATAGTCTGACACCTGGCACTGTATCTGCCCCTGGGAACCTTCAAGGTTATATTCATGTTTTATTATTTATTTAATAATCACATGATTTTTACAAAAACAGTATACACAGTATACATATATACAATAATTATAATATAACAATAGGATATACAGAATAAAAACATGAGTAGCGGGAGCCCGGGGGCCATATTAGCCGTCTAACTTGTACGGTGCACCGGGGAAAACAGGTTGAGTCCACGGCCCCTGCCCCTATTTAGGGGCAATGGATGTCCACTCTCGGGAGCGCCGCTTCGGAGAGGACCTCACAACTTTTTGGAAAACCGAGGCACAAATCTTCGCGTCCGGACCGTCCAGTAATCCGGCAGGAAACCCCCGAAGACACTCCGACCGGTTCTCCGTCTGCACGGAAAAAGCGCCCGCAGGAGAGGACCGTCACCGACTTTTTGGACCAAACGGGCACAATCTTCGGCTCGAACCTCGCGGCAGTAATCGCGGCGAGGAAAACCGCACGAGACGGAACTGCCACGGGTTTCTCTCCTAACGAAAAGCCGCCCGCCAGGAGAGGGACAAACGGGAGCAATCCGTTGCCCTCCGGGCTGCGAACGCTCCCAGTATAATCCGGACAAGGAAAACCCCGGAGACCACTCCCGCCGAGTTCTCTCCGCACGAGAACAGGCCGCGCAAAAGGGAGAAGACAACGGGCACGGAATCCTTCGGCTGCCGGACCTCCAGTAATCCGGCAAGGAAAACGCCCGAGCACTGATCCACGGTCTTCTCTCCGGAAAAAGGGCCCCAAAAGAAGAGGACCTGCCACGACCTTTTTTTTGGGGTCGAAAACCCGGGGCAACCAACCGTTCGCGTCCGGACCTCGACGCGCAGTAATCCGGGCAGGCGAACCGCCCTAGACAACGTCCCCACGGTGTTAATCTCCACGAAAGGGGCCAAGGGAGAGGACCGTCACACTTTTTGGACAAACCGGGGCCACAATCCTTCCGGCTCGTGACACCTCCGAGAGTAATCGGTTGGAACCGCCGAGACCAAAGCTCGCACGGGTCTTCTCCTCCACGAAAAGGGCAAAAGGGAGAGGACCTCACTCTTTTTGGACGAAACGGGGGCGACGAAATCGCTTCGGCCGCCCTAGCCCAGTAATCGGGACACGGAAACCCGGACGACTCCGGAACGGTTTCTCCTCGACGAAAAGAGGCCCAGGGAAGAAAGACCTCACCACTTTATTTGGACGAAACGGGCACATCCTTCGGGCTCGACCTGCGTCCAGTACATCGGCGGCAGCAGGAACCCCGCCAAAGACACGTGCACGATTTCTCCCACGAACAAGGGCCCCGAAGGGAGAGGACGGGCTCACGACTTTGGACCAAACCCGGCACAAATCTTCCGGCTCCGCACCCTGCCAGTAATCCGGCAGGACGGCGCCGCCGTCGGCGCGGGAGGACACTCACGGTTTCCTCTCCACGAAAAGGCAGGTGAGAGCGGAGGCACTCCTTTGTTTGCGACAAACGGGCACAATCGCTTCCGGCTACCGACCCTTCCCAGTAATCGCGGCAGGAAACCCAAAGAGACCCCGGCGCCACGGTTTCTCTGGCACGACGAAACGCGGCAGGGCAGGAAGACCGTCCACCTTTTTGGCAAAGACGGAACAATAAAAACAAAAAAAAAAAAAAACTTTCGGCTCGACCTGCCGCGAGTAGATCCGGCGAGAAAACCGCCGGACGGCGACTCACGGGTGTTCTCTCCACGGAAAGGGCCAGCCGGAGAGGACCTCGCACTTTTTTGGACAGCAACGGGCAAAATCCTTCCGGCTCGGACCTTCTAACGGCCAGGAAACCCCGAGAACTCGCCCGACGGTTTCTCTGGCCACAAAGGGCCCAGCGGAGAGGACCTCCACGGAACTTTTTTGGACAAACGGGGCCATATCCTTCGGCTCGACCTCGACGAAGTCTCAGACACTCGCTTTCGGTGTCTCTTCCACGAAAACGGGACAGATAAGTACCTTCAGACTGTTACTCGGTCTCTAAACACGTACGAAACCGTTTGATTATGTGGGTGCGAATCGTACGATAAATCGCACCCGATATTTAGATAGAATAGTGTACCTACGATGGACATAAAATTTTTTTCGATGCGTGCGCATAAGGGTCCGGCCGAGGGTGGTTCGGTGTACGTGGGCCAGGGCTTTTTTTTTTTTTTTTTTTTTGGGGACGGTGAATGATACCAGAAGACTTGTAGTCTGAAGAATGGTGTGCATCGGTCCGAAATTAGGTTAAAATCGTGAGAAAAGGGGCGTCCTTTGATCAATTAGTGGCACGGCAGTGGTAACCACGCCTATCCTTACATGGACACACGACCGCGCCTCGAAGGGACGGTGAAATTATTAGGTAACTAACGGGACAAAAAACGAAATACAAAATGACAATTACGGTGACGGAGGGAACGCGCTACTACGCGGGGAGGACACCTTGTGACTCTTGACATGAGTTAGTGAAACCCGAAATTTGTCCAAAATTTATCAAAAAAGGTGTAATTTTTGGCTCGGCGAAAGCCGGGACCTTTAGTAAAAGATTAGTAATAATGAGCAAATCCTCCCACCGACGTCCTTTGTGAAAGGGCGAACGTTTGTAAATAAGGACCCAATTTATAGCTAAAACAGGGCGGACGAAAGGCAGCGTGGACGCCGAGAGCTAATTTGTCGTACATTACCGTGAAAATTGTAGACATGTGGCACAAAGATACCCAGGGAATTGTGTCACGTGTGTCAGACCTCGAGAGTGACCCAAGGACTTCCCGAGGTCCGGCCGCAAAATTGCTTGCCAGTGACTAAAGGCGGGTAAACCGGTAATGTTTAGGACACTGATCTAATTCGCTGTCGATAAAAAATGAAGTCTGTGAAAGAGTTGCACGGTAAGGGGTCGCGAATTTGATTTACGGGTGAGGCGTAGTCGCCGACAGCCTATATTTTTGTCGAATTACGCGGAAAAATGGGTGAGTGCGTCGGTCCTAAGGACGGAGGAAGGACCCAATTGTTTCACTCCACTGCGTCGGACAGGATGACCTAGGGGGCGGAGAGTCCTGAATAAAAGACCCCATTTTTTTCGGTACACGAGGCGGGGGACCTAGAGACGTCCACACCTACACCGGAACACTCAAAGAAGGGAAGACCGATGACATGGTGTACGGGCGTGAATAAACTCGGTGATACCAAGGCCTATGTAAAAGAGTAAAGTGGTGAAAAAGGACCCATTCTAATACAAGACAGTGAAACCGATTGGCGTGGTGACAGCCAGCAGAGGGACTCTCACATGCAGGTAACGGACATTTATCCCCGATTTAATCCAGAACAGTGAAACCGATTGGGCGGTGTGACAGTCCACTAGAGGGCTCTGCACCTGCAGGTAAGGGACATTTATCCCGATTGTAATCCAGACAGTGAAACCGATTGGCGTGGTGANACCTGGAGGAGCGTCTGATGAACCAGCTGGCCCAGCTCAACGGCAGCATCGCAGACTACCAGCAGGAGGCGGCGGACAACCGGGAGCATTTGACCGAGCTGCAGCGGGAGGTGGAGCGGTTGGCGAGGGAGCGGGCCGAGTTGGAGGCCGAGGCGCAGAGCGAGAGCGACCGGGCCGCCAGGCTGGAGGAGGACATGAGGCAAGCACAGAGAGAGAGAGCCGAAGCAGAAGCAGAGTCTGGTAAGCAGAGGGAGCTGGAGCAGCAGCTGAGGTCCGCTCAGAGGGTCAGGGAAGGCAGCCAGAGCAGAGCGCGGCAGCTGGAGGAGCTGCTGAGGGAGAAGCAGCTGGAGGTCCGGCAGCTGCAGAGGGACTGCATCAAGTACCAGGAGAGGATCAGCGAGATGGGTAGAGACGCTAAGGCGCTGCAGCAAGGTTACAACGAGCTCCAGAATAAGCTGGAACAATCCCAACTGGAGACTTCGAAAACTTTAGAANTGCTTAAGTCCGGGGGTCCGGGGACTCACGGTGTGCAAGGTTATGGAGGTGCCCATGTCAGGGACACATGCTGGAGGTCTTTAGTCCGTCCTTTGTGGTCCTTGGAGGGGCCACAGAGAGGAGATTTCCCCGGTCTCTGTCCTGGATGAGTGAAATAAACAGAGTCTCCATTTCAGGGACACATGCTGGAGGTCTCGCTCCCGAGAGTGGACGTCCATTGCCTCTAAATAGGGGTAAAATTAGGTCTGTCACTTTGGGTAACCGCACCACTGTCGGACATCTCCCGAGAGTGGAGGTCCATTGCCTCTAAATAGGGTCAGGGAAGGCAGTCAGAGCAGAGCGCGGCAGCTGGAGGAGCTGCTGAGGGAGAAGCAGCTGGAGGTCCGGCAGCTGCAGAGGGACTGCATCAAGTACCAGGAGAGGATCAGCGAGATGGGTAGAGACGCTAAGGCGCTGCAGCAAGGTTACAACGAGCTCCAGAATAAGTTAGAACAATCCCAACTGGAGACTTCGACAACTCTAGAAGACCTGAAAAGGACAGAAGCAGAGTGTGATAGCTGTAAATCTCAGCTGGATGAGTCCCGGAAGCAGGCAAGCGTAGCTATCGTGGAGAGGAGTACCATGGAGCAGAACGCCCAACACAGAGAGGCCTCGATGAAGGCAGAGGCGGAGCAGACCCTGGACTCTGTGAGGTTCAGACTCGGAGGCGAACTGAAGGAGATGGAGCTGAGACTGGACGAGGTGGACAGAGAGCGGGACAAGGAAGAGGAAGCGACCCTCGAGGCCAGAGAGGTCGCAAGAGCAGCCGAGAGACGAGCCCAGGAGCTGCAAGCCCGTCTGGACGAGTCTCTGGCCAGGTTAGCTGCCTTCTCGCGCTGCATGTCCTCACTGCAGGACGACCGAGACAGAGTTTTGGACGAGACCAAACAATGGGAGACTCGCTTCAGTGACTCTCTGCAGGGTAAGGAGGCCGAGGTGCGGGAAGCTGAGACACGAGCAAAGGATCTGGCAGAACAGCTCCAGAGAGAATCTGCTCTGAAGCTGCAACTTCAGCTATCAGTTGACAGGTAAAAACCTCCTCTTCCATTTTTCCTTGATTGTATTTTTGCTTTTTAGCTTAAAACTTACAAGATTTGTTTTCTTCTTTAAGGCTGGAGAAGGCAGAGAAAGATTTGAAGCTGAAACTGGAAGGGGAGGAAAAGAAAGTGTCAGAGAGCCAAGCCGCCCTAGAGGAGGTGAAAAACAAGCTGCAGCAAACCACCTCCGAGCTGCAGGCTGCACAAAGTGAAGCTCACGCTCTGACAAGAGAGGCCGAGAGTCTCAACCAGAGGGCCAGAGCTCTGGAGGAGGCTGTCGGGCGGCTGCAGGGTGAAGTGGACCAAGCCAGGACAGAGCTGAGTGAGCGGGAGGCCGAAGAGAGGCGGCTGTGTCTGAACGTGGAGCAACTAGAGACAGACCTGCGCTCCTCTAAAGCCCTGACAGAGAGTCTGCAGACTGAGTTAAATGAGAAGGAAAGGAGAGAAGTGGAAATGCTGGGAGAGAAGGAGCATGCTGTTGCTCAGGTATTTATAGGCTCTTATCTCCAGCATTCCCCTTATATTGTTGACATTGTTCACTTCTCATGGTTGTTTTTGTTCCCCAGGCTGCAGAGGAGGCTAGAAAGGAGGCCGACAGCAGGGCAAAGGAAGCCGAGGAGGAGCTGGAGCAGAGGAGAGGGGAGCTGAGGGATCTGGAAGAAAAACTGCGAAAGGCTGAAGAGGAGAGCAACAACAGAAAAACCAAACTGGACTCTTTCATGAAGGCCATGGGCTCCCTGCAGGATGACAGAGACCGAGTGCTCAACATGTACAAACAGCTGGAGGAGAAACACCTGCAGGTAACACACACAAACCTAAAGCTTAGAGTATTGGTAGTAGAGGAAATAATGTTTATTTTCAATGTAATACTTCACAGGAACTGGAAAGAATTGCTCAAAGCTGTTAGTTCCTGAGCACTCCTTGTTTAAGAAGCAATAATGGAACCCAGCAAAAGGAAAATGATTCTCTGAGTTACACATTAGTTCATACCTTTTCTTTTCTGTATTAGAAAAATCCTGACATCCTGAAGTTTTGGAACTTGACTAGGGCTTGACTAGATATGTTTTATTTTAATCTTAAATACTCCAAACATAGTCTCAAAAATAATCCTGCAAAAAATGTTGTAACTTTAAGTATTATTAGAACATATGGCTTAATTCTTATGAAGCTAAAGGCACATGTCTGCAAACCTTTTAGACAACCTTCCTTTTTTAAGAAAGTGCCAAAAATTTCAGGCACAGAGAGCTTGTAATGGTGCTTTTGATAGACCCTTTCATTCATATTTTCTGTGAGTTGTATGCCCAGCTGATGATATAGGAATGTTGTTGTGTGTGTCAGGTGATGCTGGAGAAGGACGGTCTGATCCAAGAGGCGGCAGGGGAGAACAACAGCCTGAAAGAAGAGCTGCGCTCTCTGCTGGTCCAGAGAGACGACCTGTATGCTGAAAGGTCTCAGCTGTCCGCTCAGCTCCACGGCTACCGCGATGAACTGAACCAAGTCCTGAGCATGAAGGACTCGCAGCACAAGCAGCTTCTGGCGGCTCAGAGAGCGCGCATTGCGGAATTAGAAAGTCAGGTAAAGAGTGTAATCAGAGCCGGAGAGACGGGAGCGGAAGCAGTGAAAGTGGAAAGGGAGTCTCTAAGCCAGGCTGCACCACAGGTGATAGATGCTCCCGGTGCAGAGGTGGAGAAGCTAAGGGAGCAGCTGCAAGCAGCCAGAGAGCAAGTGGAGGCTTTGGAGGAGAGATTACAGACGGAGAGACAGGAGCAGCAGGGCAGGAGCAAAGAGCTGTCAGAGCTGCGATGGGAGGGGGGGGTGATGCGGACAGAGTCAGAGAACGCTCAGGAGAGGGTGGCGGAGCTGGCCAGAGACCTGCTGGCTGTGGAACAGAGTCTGCTGGCAGAGAGAGAGATGACCACGCAGCTGAGAGCAGAGAACCAGTCCTTCTCAAAAGCCATGGCCTCCCTGCAGGACAGCAGGGACCAGGCTCTGAACAAGGCCCAGGAACTGAGCCTGAGACTGGAGGAGATGAGTAAAGCAGGGGGCGTCCCAGTACCCAGCAGCCCCGGGGGCTCCACTGGAGAAGTGTGGGGTCTGAAGAATGCACTACAAGCCCTGCAGAATGACAGGGAGAGACTGGTGAGTTACATGTCTGACAAATACATGTCAATATTATGGACATCACAAATCTCCTGGCAAAAACATATATGATGTATGTGCATTTTCATTTACATCTATTCCAACATCAATTTGTTCTCCTTCCTTCTCTTTGTGTGCAGCTGGAGCAGCTTCAAACACAGGCGACTGAGCTCAAGAAGCTGAAGTCAGAGCTGGCTCGACTTGGAGCCGGAGAACTAATTAAAGTCAGCCAGGAGCTGTATGAAGAGAGGAAGAGGAATGAAGACATGCTCAGTATCATCATGCAGCTGGAGAATGTGGCGGAAATGGGCAAACAGCAGATAGAAACTCTCAGGTGAGAAACACAGAGACGGAGTTTAGAAAAGCAAAATGCCACAAGAATGTTTCAAAACCTTAATTAGTCTTCAAATGTATGAATCTTAAAATAGGACCATAATTGGTTTTATAAATGTCTTTAATCTGTCTTTCAAAAGTCTATATAAATGCTAAGACATGGGAAGAAAGGTTTGATGAATCACTGTTGTTGTTTTATGTTTTATTATTAAGAAAATGCCACACATTAATGCCATACGTACCAGGATACTAGAGGCGTAGGGACCCTGCTTTTCTGTTTTTGAATGAATATGAATTTGTCTTGGTCTTATCAGACTGGAGCGTATGGACTGGATGGCTCAGGCGGAGCAGCTGAAGCAGCAGACCCTCACCACTCTTTCAGAGAGAGACCAACAACTGCGGCAACTCAGCGCCATGCTGGAGGAGGCCCGCACTCAGAAGCCCAAGCTCCAGCAGGAACACTATCAGAGAGAGGTATACAGCTGCTGCTACTTCTTCTGACTGCAAAGGAACATTATAGATGTCTGTGTCCTTAATAGATGGTTCCACATCTCACTTTGGGAATAATAATTTGACTTCAAGTTGTTAGAAATATTTGAATTTGATCCATAGCTCTCCAGAAATGTGGCTTGCCCAAGGTTTGATTTAAACCTGTACAATGTACAGAACATAGGATAAGGATGCTTCATATAACGTGGATCCTTTATAATCTTTTTTTCAGGGAACAGAGGAAGTGGACAGCGCTCCTGGAGCCCCACAGGAGCGTAGCAGCCTGTCAGACAGCCATGCATACATAGCCGAGGTCAAAGAGCTGCAGGGAAGGTAAACTCGAGGTCAAACTTGACCTGAAACACTGTTTAAAAGATTAAGGATAACATTTACGCATACTAATCCATTTCATTCTTACCTCAGGCTAGATCAAGAGATGCAGCAGAGAGTGGCCGCTGAGGAGCAGCTGATGGCCACACAGGATCAACTCAAACGGTATGAAAAGTGATGCAAGATAAAAGACAAGGGAACTTAAAGCAATATTTTAATGTTATATTGTATATATGATCAAATCACTATGTAATGTAAAATGAATTGCTTCTAAAGACAATTTGCTTTTTTCAATCCAAAACAAAGATACTTAGTTATTAAAATAGTAGAACATGATAAACATGATCACAAAATTGCTTGTTATTGTTAATTATTATGTGTTTAACTTTGAGTCAATGATCATGATTTGTAATCGCAGTTGATAAACAGTGCTTCAGAATATTTGTTCTGCATCTAAAAAGTGAATCTTTAAGCTCTCATAAATGTTTTTAATCGACCAATTATCACCACTAACATCGTTTTTTTAATTATTATTATTAGTCACAGCCAGGGTACATGGCACTCGGCACAGGAGGAGGATCACTCGGAGACGGCTGTTTTTATCGAGCAGGAAGGAGCCGTCACTCGAGTAAGGCTCCCTCTAATGTCCCCCTCCACCTCATTTGTCAAAGTAACTATAATAACACAGACGTATGAGCTGGATGTAACCTTGTCCTCTCTCTCCTGCAGGCTCGGAGAGGCGGCCCCAGCTTGATGCGGATGCTGCGGGGGGCTTTCTGCTCCCGCCAGCGCACCCCTCTGCTGCTCAGCCTCTATCTGCTCACTGTGCACATCCTGCTGCTGCTGTGTCTGGGCGGGCTCCTCTGAGAACCGCTCCCTTTAAACACCTGACCAATAGGATCTAGAGTTAGAGAGAGGAGGGGAAAGGGAATGGAAATTTGACGCAGACCTAACCCAAGCCACCCATCTGTTTTTTTTAATGTCATCAATTATAAAAAGGTGTGTCGGAGGCTCTCCACACACATTGCACTTTACAGGACTTAATGCTGCATTCATGCGCCCCTCGGATAATCCACAGAGTTGGGAAGTCGTTCTTCTGCCTTTATTAGCTTTAAGCCGTTATGTGAAAACAACAAGGCGTTTTGAGTGATCAGAAGACTAGAAAGACTTAATATAAAGTCCATTTAACAATTACCAACATGGACGTTACAGAGACAATTTAGTATTTTATTAATTCAATAAAGCACGACACGCTGATAGCAATATACTTTTCCTGTCACTTCACGTGAACAGCAAATTATGGTATAACCATATTACAAATAACATGGGAGCAGAAATCGATAAGCAATGTGTTTAATTATTTAAGTTTCTTACTGTATCCCAACTTTTACTTCTGTAAAATGTTACTGCTTTAGATATGAGCGTTATTGTCTCATGACATGAGATTATGAAGTTGTGTACTGTCCTAAAATAACATAACTCCATTTTATTGTTCTGTCTTCAAGGGAGCTAAGGAAACTTCCGATTATTCCCAATAACATGAACACAGCATTTATATTTTATCCAAAGTATTTAAATGTATTTAGTTTGTTGTTAATGGTTTTAATTATGTTGCTTGTGTATGACTTCAAGGGAAACCCGAGAAGGAAGGACACAGGAGACTAAGTTTGCTTTCTGAAGTGTGTCATGATGGTGTTCTTTATGTGCCTTTTTATATTGGATTTAAAAGGGTCACTTCAAGTACGGACTTACCAGTTTGGTCAATTTCACCGAGTTCTATTAAAATGTTTGGCTGTTGAGTGATGGAAACCTTCCATCCACTTGCAGTGAACTAGCGTATTTGTCAAAATGTCCAACTATAATTTGAAGATGGCTTGAGGTTCAGGACATGCTGTTATAATCCAGTCTCCTATTCTACTCATTTCATGCACAAAATCGGAGCACAGTGCAATATTTTCTCGTACACATTCCTGTAGTGTGTTTGCTTTTCTTTTCCTCTTATATAAATCACGAGAAAGGGGAGCATTATAGTGATATTTGTTATTATGTACGTAAGGTGGAATTGGGTATTCCCTCCTAAATGAACATGTCCAATAAGATCCCCTCCCGTTCAGGCTTCTGTTGCACCGATTTAGATTTTACAGTTTGCTCTGTCATTTTTACAGCAGGTGAACAATGTTACCGCAGTGTGGATCCATTCCAGAGGAGAAAGACTGCCGTGTTTCCTATCAATATCCATCCCATTGTAATCCACTCTAATGTAGCATCATTTAATGCCATAGTAGTCAGAATGATCCACATGTATACTGACATCATCCTCTTGATTCCTGTTTATTTAATCGCTGAGTGTTGGTGAAGGATCTGTGCGCATCTTCTTTTAACGTTTATGTTCTTCATGTGTTACACACTGAAATATACTTTAACTGTAAATAACTTTAAAAAGGGCTGTATAGAAAACTAAAATGTAATAAAAGTGATGGTGGTTTAGATCAGGGACAGATGTTGTCAAGCATTAATTATTTTTTCTCATTTGTGTAGAAAAACCACATTGGTATATTTTAAATTACTGTAGTACTTTTGTCAGTTAATGGTTTTATTTAATTCATTAAATAAATTAAAAACGTTATCCAATGATTGAGCAAACATTTATAAATGTTGAAGTGACATAACAACTGTGATATTTTAACAATTGAACTGCTGGTTTTAAAACATAATGCTTCTCTGTGGGACTTTTTGTTAAGTTACTTTCACTTTCAAAGATTAAACACATCAGCTGTGTCTGTCTGTACTGATGTCAGTGAACTTAAAGATGGTTCAGATGAGTATTACGTCTAAGTCAATAAAATAGAGCCAGTGTGAAAAACAGGTTCAGCAACGTTTTTACTTAATTGTTCATGCAGAATTTTGCAATTCCTGGAGGGACATTAATCTATTGCCTTCAAGTCATTTGCTTTTATTTACCAGAATTTAAGAGAAAAAGGAAATAACTATGTTCAGCTACTTTTTCACACAAAATAATTTTCATGGCTAAACATTGACGTCTGAGCCCAATTTACGATGCCTGGTCTGACAGTAATTCTTCTGAATGATATTCCTATTGACAGCTAGTTTATATGTGAACATTATTTGGACAGCCAGAGAGAATAAATGAAAAACAGTTATGAAATACTATATGACAAAACAAGAATACAGTTTAAGTGATTTGTAAAATATCCATAAAGAAAAATCTGCTTACAGTTCCGTTTTATATGGGTGTTGAGAGATGTATCCATATATCTCTTAATTTTGCTCTCAAAGTGCACCAGATTGATGCTTTTAACTTAATATTTAAAAAAAAATCTTCCTGGATGTGTGTGTCTGCCCCGTCTGCCCCCCAGTGTTGTAACTACAACACAACCTGCTAAATCACAAAGCTGACAAATGTTGTTTATAAAAGGATTCTCAAGGTCAGAAACTGTAACTAAAATAAGAGCCCACAATTATTCATGCGTTGAACTGATTGTGGTTTACAGCATTTGTGCTAGCAGCCCCTGCCTATATATCCTTAAACTCCACATTTAGGCTACTCTTATCACCACTTTGTCTGTGATTTCCGTGAGCACTTGAATGCAGCACTTCTTACTTATTTTTTTAAAGGTCTCCTACAGAAATCCCTTGATTTATATATTGTATTAAATATTGCATACTAAAATAACAAGATCCTGTAATGTTATAATTTAAAGTACGATAAAAATAGACGTTATTATTATTTACATCAACGCGCGTTCACGTACCCAAGATCCGCGTTCACTTCTCGCCCATTAAACTGTCACCACTTGACTGAAGAACTTCAAGAACACTGTATCGGTTTAACATCCACTTAAACACGGATATAATACCCTGACAACTCAAAGGTAATGTTATTTTGTTTTTTTCAAACTTACTATAAAAAGCATAGGTCTATGTGCTTTTATTTTAAACACCTTTAAATGTCTTTAAGGAAGTACATTGAGACGTAGTTAAAGGCAATGTACTGTAAACCGTTAGGAAAATGCGACATGGCTTAAAAAACTGTCAAAAGAATACTGTAAGATAGGAAGGGCTAACATTTAATGTATTTTATTATCTTAATATGCACCTGTATGGGCAACATGTTACAATGAACAATTATAGTAAAAGGGACAATTGCTAACTTCGCATTTATTAAATGAATAAAGAGAATACTGTGTTTGCCTCCATTGAGAAACAATGTTATGTCGGTATAACTTGTAAGCATTACAGGAAGTATTTATTTTAAATAATATGTTATCATGATACTGTTTCTTTTGTATTTTAGTGTCTCTTTACTTTATAGAAGTACTGCAGTGTGTTCAATTATGGGGAAATGAAGCTTTGTGTTGAGAATAACTTCCCTTTTGAGACTTCACCAACCTGTGTTCATAGCTTGTGGCTGCACATTAGTTATTTTTAGTTATTATGTTAATAAAAAGTGCTCAGTGCTTTGATAACAGTTTTTTTTAAATATAACAGAATATTTCCAGATGTGAACATATGATGACTCAGAAACTGTCTTCAGTGTGGCTCATGGTGTTTTACTTCCCCAGATGTGGAAGTCAGTCGCGGGCCACAATGTGAAGGTGAAGGTGTCCACAGAGGGGGAAGACTGGGAGACAGACCCTGACTTTGAGGTACTGTATACTTCCTGCAGATATGTGAATCACTGTATAAAGGTGTGTGCGTCACTCAAACCCTTCCTGGTTGTGTGTTTCAGAATGATATATCCGAGCAGGAGCAGAGGTGGGGAGCAAAGAGTGTGGAGGGTTCAGGACGGCAGGAGCACATCAGGTAGGAGATGCACACCTCCTGAGCGATTAATTACACTATGTAGAGAAATGCAGGACAGAAATGGTGCTGTGTAGCAACAGGAAGAGGAAGTGAGAGCAGAGCACAAGTCGTAGGCAGTGAGTCTTTCCTAATATGGGTAATATATGATGGTGACTATTTGACAGTGAGATTTAAAGCACTGCTTTCTCACTTTGAATAGTTGGGACTATACATACAAGCAGTGGTGCTGAATAGGCCTAAAGATGTCTTTACTTACCGCTAATTCACACTTTCAAGAGTTTATAAGGTGTTATTGCTGTTGTGAAGCATACCGTCAGCTGTTCATCATACAACATGACACTGCATTTATCTTTTTATATTGTATATTCTTCAGGTATACAAAACCTGTACAGTATCTGTTCCAAAAAATAATTTATAAACAACTTATTTACATTAATAACTTATTAGGAAGTGTTACATTTACACCATCAGTTACGGAGATGGGTATTTCCGAGATTTAAGTAATATATTTTGGATAAGAAAAGAACATTTATCTAACATTATTAAAGCCTCAAATATCAGAGAAAAAAACAGGAATGACACCCCTATCTCTCTTTTCCCATGAATGTAAGACTTAAGTTTGTATTTCTAATTATATCCCCCTCCCCAACCCTGCTTAGTTTTTTTTACGACAGATGTTTTTATCATTGTGTGTACTGCTGTGCTTCTCTGTGTCAGTGTGTTTGACCCGGTGTGACCTCCCAGTATTGCAGATCTCAGAAACAAAGTGACTGCGGAGCACGAGCAGGGGAAGAAGAAGGAGCACACTCCCAAAGCCTCGTACGGATATGGAGGGAAGTTTGGAGTGGAAAAGGACCGAATGGACAAGGTTAACACATTTTTGACACTCAAAACATCCTGATAGGATTCTCTTATCTATTGCCAGATTCAATGTAGGTCCTCCTTCGCTCCTACAAACTGTAGGCTGGATTGTTTATATTTATATCTCTGTTTTTAAGGTGGCTTTGGGGAACGACTATGTAGCACAAGTGGAGAAGCACTCCTCTCAGAAAGATGGGGCACAAGGTTTCGGTGGGAAATACGGTGTTCAGAAAGATCGAGTCGACAAGGTGAGGAGAAGAAGAGACTTAAAAAACATCCGTTCTTATCTGATTTGATTATTGTTACTTCACCTGGATGTTTGACCTTCACTGAATGAATTGCTCTCAAATACGTTTCTAAATCTCAGTTTAACCCGTGTAACTACTATCATGATTTTGTTTTTAGGCATAAAAACATGTCTGGGAATGAATCGTACACCAACAAGTAACGTTCACACGTGTGATGTGGAAACATGATATTAATAATTGAAATAAGGGAGAACAAATATGTAATGTCAGAATCTATATCTGTTTAGTTCAGCTTTTCTGTTAAAACCATATCGGACACAAATGATCATTTAAGTCAGAGTGTTTTTAAACCATTCTAAGCACTTAATAAAAGGTACGATACAATATTACTTTAATAATCAGATCAAGTCTGACATTTCACTTGGGTCACAGCAGATCCATTTGCAACATTCACAAGGACAGTATTAATACAAGAAAAGCAAACATTTAACATAACATCAGTGAGGGAAACATGCTCAAAGAGCCTGAAGCGTGCATTTGACCTGGGATTTAGCTCTGTATTTACTGTTAGAATTGACTGGTGCACATTGGTGGGCTTCAGTCTGACTTTATTAAAGCGAGGGACCCTGTATCTCCGATTAATGGCAACAATGAATATTCGCTGTTCAGAACAGAAGGGGTCTTTAAAGAATGAATAACCTTGTATGCAACTTTTTTTCTGTGCAGTCGGCCATGGGCTTTGAATACAAAGGAGAGGTACAGCAACACACATCTCAGAAAGGTACAATTAAAGGGGCCATTTCATCTACAGTACAATATTTGTACTTTTGTTAAGCTACTACCTCACAGAATTTCCTCTACAATCCACATGGTTTAGATTACTCAAAGGGATTCGGAGGAAAGTACGGTGTGGAGAAGGAAAAAGTGGACAAGTCAGCTTTGGGGTACGACTACAAAGGCCAGACAGAGAAGCACCAGTCACAAAAAGGTGAGCTTACTTTGTAGCAATAATCAGTTTTGACACATTTTTTGTGACATTTTCTTTATATTGCACTTTATTTCACCAGATTATGCTAAGGGCTTTGGAGGAAAGTACGGCGTGGAGAAGGATAAGATGGACAAAGCCGCTTTGGGGTACGACTATAAAGGAGAAACAGAGAAGCACCAGTCACAGAAAGGTCCGTGATAGTTGTTGCATTCGTCTGTTTTCACACCCTTTGTCCAGGATTTCTGATCGTTGTTTTTTTATTCAATGTACAGATTATTCAAAAGGATTTGGAGGGAAGTTTGGTGTTGAGAAGGAGAAAGTTGATAAAGCTGCTTTGGGCTATGATTATAAGAGCGAGACGGAGAAACATCAGTCACAAAAAGGTAAGGAGACATCCAAATGTGTGTATTTTAAAATATAATGTAACTATAGTACGTCAGGCTGATCAAACGGATCTGTTTAGATTATTCAGCAGGTTTTGGAGGTCGTTATGGAGTTCAGGCTGACCGCATGGACAAGGTCAGTATTACAACTGCAACTGTTATTTCACTTTTTATTTATTTCTCTTGTAAATGATTATAGGTTATTATTTAAACTTCAATAAAATGGTAGTGTTGGCATGTTGATGTTACATTACTGCCATTACTGGCATTAATATATTTGATTTTATCTTTATTTAGTACAATTGTAACACAAATTCTAGCCTTTTTTAGTCATTTGAATTGGTGGGCGTTAAGGCTGTAATTCACAGGTAATAAAGGCTTGTTCAAGCTTGCTGTGGATGTTTGAAAAAATCAATATACTGTATATAGAAATATGAATTAATATGTGTGTAGTATGGAGAGTGGTGTGTGAGGCTTGGCAGAATATATCTGTTTTGGTATATAGAGGACATATTTTAGTGCAAACTGTGGTATTTAATTGGCTGAGATAAAGCTATATTGTGGACCCATACATGAACCATTTTAGTTATTAACTTATCATTCCTGCACATGTCGGTAAGGACAAATGTAACATAGTTAATGGTATATATTGAATCTATCTGGACTTTTGGAAACAAATACTTTCTCTATTGATCTCTTTCAGAGTGCAGCCGGCTTCTCAGACATGGACTCCCCTTCCTCTGCGTATGAAAAGACACAACCATTAGAGGCCTGTAAGTCCATTTTTCCACTCACTACAATAAACTCTACTGCGCCATCTTTCTGTGAACAAATAAAGCCACCAGCGATAAGCTGTAACCATGATCAACCATCTAAAGTAACAGTCAGAGAATCAGCACTTTTGAAACAGGGCTGAAACAGAGGGGATTATGGGATGCTGCAATGATCTGTTTGGTGTTTGGAGCCAAACACTTCAGAGACATGTTTTGTATATACGTATCTGATTGATGAAAAACAGTATAATAGGGGACCTTTAAGCCACATTCATATATTGTTTTACCCGTTACTGCAGCAAGCGCGGGCGCAGGGAAACTGAAGGCACGTTTTGAGAACATGGCGAAGGCTTCAGATGAACAAGACAAGAAGAAAGCAGAAGAAGAGAGAGCGAGGAGACAAGCCAGAGAGAGCAAAGAGCGGGAGGCTTCCAAACGCAGACAAGAGGTAACACACTGTCAACATTATATTAACAAATAAACTAAAGGTTAACATGCGTGTTAATGAATGTGTGTTCCCTGTAGGAGGAGAGCAGAAGAGAGGAGGAAATACGTCCACCACCTGTTCCATATGTGGCTCCAGAGGTGGAGGATGATATGCCGCCACCAGATATCCAACACCACATGCCAGAGATACAAGAAATACCAGAACCAGAGGTGAGACACTGATTCAAACAAATTATACAAAACAAAAGATTCATCCATTCATCTTTATTTTTGTTAACGAATCCCAACGTTGTTGATTAACGACTAATTTGTTCATGCTTAAATTGCAGAAGATGCTGTTTTCAGCGTCTCTCTTATAGAGAGTTCCTGGGTTTCTCTGTTTTATATCATTAAACGGAATATAATAGGCTTATGTACTGCCAAAACCAGACCTTGCACTTTCACTTTTTTCTAACATTTTAAGGACACTAATCTGCAGATTCATGAATGAAATGAGTTACATTAGTTCTGGCTATCATCTCTGTTTGTAACTAGGGAAACATTTGTTCATATAGATGGTTAAAATTGTTTGAGAAATCTGGAAAACACAGAACATACACTGAGATTAGGTGATATACTAAAATCCTAAAGTCACCTCCAGGATTTGAGAACATGAAGTTGAAGACATGCTGTGATGTTTTCAGGAGGAATCAGTGTACGAGGAGCCCCCGGAGCTGCCCCCGCGCTCAGAGGATTCCAACTCCCTGGAGGCCCCCCCACCCCCCGACATGTTTGCAGATGTGGAGGAGGAGGAGGATGAGGGAGAGTACGAGGAACTCGCAGACCCGCCTCCTCCTGCACCCCCAGGTCTGTCTGCAGATATGGAGGAGGATGAGGATGAGGATGAAGGAGAGTACGAGGAACTCGCTGATCCGCCTCCTCCTGCGACCCCAGGTCTGGTTGGGAGGGTTACTTTAAAAATGGAATCCGTTACAATGACTAGTTACATGTCACAAAATATCATCTGTAACCAAAGCTAAGTATCCCAATATGTAAGTAATGTAACCTAATCCTACCTTTTGGATTACCTCAACATCAACACCTGCTAGTATTCTCTATTTATTTTTTTAACAGTAATCTGATAACGTATTTCTTTAATGTAACTGCATGGGAATTCAGTTACCTTCTTTTGCATCCTGATTGATACGTAATCTCGTTACTCCCCAAGCCTGGCAGTCAATTACACGTCAAACCTTTGATTTATAGAACAAATATTCATTTCTATGTTCCCTTCACAGCCAACGATAATGACTATGAAGACCTGTCGACTGGCCAGACGGCTGTAGCAATTTATGACTACGAAGGAGGTATGACACTTTTCAATTCTTCATTTTTTTGGACATTTCATTATTATATCTCGACATTTGTGAGAACAAATCCTCTTCTTTTCCACACAGAGGCTGGTGATGAGATTTCCTTCAACCCAGATGATGTCATCACCAACATCGAGATGATTGACGAGGGCTGGTGGAAGGGACATTGTCGCGGTCGCGTTGGTCTCTTCCCCGCCGCGTATGTTCAGCTGTCGCAGTGAGGAAATGATCAGGGAGGTTTTGGACAAGCTTAACTTTAGACAGTTATGTTTCTAAGGATGTGCAGCAAAGGGAAATATAAGATTTTATAGAATAAATCACACAATAAAAGAGCCAAAATGGCTTCTGCTGAGACGATTTCTTTATTTTTATTGTGTCATATCTACCTTCGTGTCAGTGTAAATGAGTATCTAACGGTGTGATGATATTAGTTGTAAGATGTTTCATTTTCTTCATGAGATTAACTGATTTAAATCACTCAGGCATATATTCTACAGGCAACATTCTTTGGGTTGTTTATATGCCAATAGCTTGCCTTAGTTCATTTTGAAATTATTGACAATTTTCAGTAATGTCAGGGCTATTATCTTCTAGCTCAGGAAAAGTAAAGTATTGTGATCATATTGTCATTATTTTAAATAATTCTGCTCTCCAAATAAATGTCCTAAAGCAAAGTGTTGAAAAATGAAAGAAAAACCTTTAATTAAAGTCTGTTTACAAGTGGGAAGCAATCATTCATTATTATTTTTGCATACAATTTAATTATAGAATATGCAGCAATATTAAAAATGTATACAAATCGGTTTAAAAAATCTGACAACAGTAGAGAGCTCCAACAAAATGAGGGGCGGGGGGATATGCGGAATGACACAACATATGACCCAAGTATCACTCAAACCTAAAACATGACGTTTACTGTAGCCGAGTTTGAAGACTTTAATTGTAGTAATGACAATCAGACATATTTTGGACTGGTTCTAGTTTCTCTAAACGTGTCCTAAGATGAAGCTGCTGTTCCATAAGAACAAACATTTTCCTGCAGGGAATTACTTAATAACAGTCTCCGTTTCACAACCATGAATCTTGTAATCCACTTAACAGAATGGGAAATTCCACTGTTACATGTATAAAACAATGCATGAAATGATTCTGTGTTGCAGCGTAAAAAGTCTTTTAAGGCAAAGCAGTGTTTTTTTTGTTTCCTCTGCTTTACCAGGCGAGGCCCTTCTTCTTCTTGCTGTGGCCGTTTTTCTTTGCCATGCGTCTGCCTTTTAGTTTTTTGGCCTGCCTTTGATTCATCCACACGGGGTACTGTCCATTTTCATTTAGTTGAGTTATCTTGTTGCGCTTGCTGTCCATGTCCATCTTACCATCTGCAACACAAAAGACAAGGATTAAAAAATAAGAAAGATGATAAATAAACATGTTGCAATACAACTTACAAATCTGTGAACTATGTTGTTAACAATCTCTCACTCACCTTCCCCCTCCATCTCCCCCACATCTGTGTGCTTCTTGATCTTGTCAGCTGGCACCACAGTGACGATGTCCTGTATGTCGGCCATGACAGCGTCTCCTTTCTTATCCATACTCAGAGCTTGTTTCAGGCGTGCCAGCTCTTTGGGAGCGTTCTTCTTCCTCTTCTCTGCACGCATCTTCCTCTTCCATTTGCTCCTGAGGCTTTTTGCCATTTTAAAGACGATCTGAAGGAAGAAAGGAAAAACAGTCAAACTTACTACATTTTTAAAGCTGCTCTGCAAGTCCCCACACTTCATTTGTTTTTTTCCTAATAAATTAAATTTCTCTAGGATGCAGTAGATGCCAAAACCAAGAGGTCCAACAATCAATAAGTATCTATACATTGTTGTATCTACAGGAATCCTGAAACTCTTAAAACATATCCTCTTTGGTGATGACAACCCCAAAATGATACTACTGAAAAAGAGTGTTGAGTTTTTCTGCAACTGTACTACACTTTTAGCAAGACCTGCTAAAACAACATAGGACAACACAATCACACTGTTGTTTCAGGTGTAATTATAGGGAAGTGTGTTGAGGAAATATAGCTCACAGGACATTTATAGTAATACAAAAAAGTGAAAATGCTAAAAAAGGTGATGTAACACAGCTTTGCAGGGAAGAACGACAGTCAAGTGTTACACATCACGTGTAATCCACAGTAATTGCTTAATGGAGATATAAAAAAAAAAATAGGCCTCCAAAAAAGCACCGTTGGCCTGATCACTATTTATATGACACAAGATCATCGTAATTACATACGTATCCACATGGGAAACAGAATATAACATGACACAATGTCACTATTTGGTATTAACACATAACTAACGTTTGATAATAGCAAGTTACCGCTAGGTAGGCAAACGGTTTGCTAGCCTGTTAGCTTTCCAAAGCTAAAGCAACCAAGCATAAACTTGAGAGCGAATTAATTCTACATAGCAACTAATACAGTGTATGAGTATTATTTGACATGTTAACAATAAGCGTTGACTTACAGATGTCCTTTAGGTGCTTTAATTTGATCCGTATACCGAAAGGGACACACTGCGCTCCGCACACGTGCTTACAAGTTGGAGGAAAAAAACGATGACGCGTTTATGAAGAAAGAGTAACATGATTGGCTGCTTTTGTCGATCTGAAGAACGGAACATGTGATTGGCCGAGGATGCCAGCAAAACAGGAAGGTCGAAGAAGTATGGATGGATTGTAAACTAATGTTGAGTAGAGTATTGTGTTCAAAAGTAGACGTCCAAACAGGTCTATCCACGTACTAACTTAGCAGCTAAAAGTAAAGCAGTATCTTTTAGTGCGTGTTATTTATTTTTATATTTTTAACTTTTTTTTGTCATGAGCAGTTCGTCTGCAGCTCGCAGCTTCGGTTCAGTCTGCAGCCCGCAGCTCACTTGTTCTTTAACACAGATGTCCAGTATGTTGGACACCGCTGCAGAGCAAATGATGGTCGAACAAGACTTCCAGGAAGCCTTTGACACATGCGACAGAGGCCTGGAGAGCCTCGCCAACATGGACCAAGAGGACAGCAGGTGGAAGTCTCAACGTTCCTAAGTATGAGATGAATGCTCCCTGCAGTTGGATGCTAATGTCTCTGTGGTTTTCTTTGTTTCCCCTCTTCAGGTGTGGAGAGCTTAAAGCTGGCTTCTGCATGTTAGGGATGCAGGCACTGGCTGAGCTGAATCAGTGGCATGGAGTCCTCTCATGGATCCTCCAGCAGTACGAGCACCAGGAGAAAATACCAGCCAAAATAATGCAGATGTGGTGAGTAGAGCTATAGCTGTATAATAGATAGGTAGAACAGGACAACAAGATAGTAAAACCACAACATTGCATATTCTCTTTTAAAATTAATATAATACATTAAACCTTGTACAGCCCCAAAAAAATGTCCCAAATTGGGATCAATAAAGTTCCTCTATAAATGTGGCCCTTTCATATACATTGTAACTCTGACAGTTGAAAACCCTACTATCCACTTAAGCATAATTGAGAATAAGCTTCAAATAGTTTCGCAACCAAGGTAGCATTGTCCTATTCCTGAATTTATCCAAAAAAAAGTTCAAAAGCCAAGGATAATTAATATACAGTTGTTTATTACAAGAAGAACAATTTGGCCTTTTTGTTTGATAAACCACTTAAAGAGTATTGTTCTGTTGATTATCTATCATTCTATCGTCTTCAGCTCTAACATACCTATTGATAACGATATTTTGTCCCCAGCATACTTCTTTACTCCAAGGTGGGGGAGCCAGCCGTTATGCAGGACGCAGCCAGAGTTTGGTTACACTGCCTGTCCAACAGCACAGTGACAGGCTTTGGCACGGTGGTGGAGCTGTACCTGCTGCATGTCCTCGTGCCTCTGGGAGACAGAGACGAGGCTCTGCAGCTGATCCAGGGCCAGGTTGGAAGCAGCGCGTTCTCAGAAGAGCAGAGGCAGACGGCACTGGATGTTGTAGAAGAAAAAGAGCGACAGAATGAAGAACCGCCTCCAGATCCTGGGATCAGACCAGACTCTGAGATTGCCACTCACTCAACCCAAGGTCTTGCATATAGGTTAAGCCCTGAATTATAATGAAGTAATATGAGTACAAGTGATTCATTCAGATTTTCTAATTCTACAGGATCTGTAATCCGTAAACTTGAAGCCATGCTCAGGTTTTTGTACCGAAAAGTGTTGTTGGCCGGCTCTGGTTCATTCTCTTTCCGGAAATTATTCCTTGCTGCTGTTCTGCTCTACATGCTTCTCCTCCGAATGGATCCAGGTTAGATAAAATGTTCTTTGTTGACCAGTATTACATTTAAGATTTGAATTATATCAGTGAATTTCTTCTTGTTCTTTCCCTGCAGCTCTTCCATCTTCATTCATGTGGATTTCCAAACTGCTCCAGCTGCTCAGACAGATGTGGACTGCCATGTTTGCACCGTACCATCAGGCTCTTACACAGAGACTGTAAAAGACTGAAAATCACAATGTGTTTGACTACAGTATATGTTTATACCATCAACTTGTGAGTGTGTATGCAGGAGCAGACCTAGGGAAATGTTCATGGGGCGGCAAAAGAGTGTCATAAAGGGCATCAGTGTTTCCCCTAGGTTTACTGCTTTGGGGGGGTGCTGCCTGAGCGTTGGGTATTTTTTAATTCCTCTGGAGCAGAGAGAGGAGCTGTGGATTATTGTTATTGAGTAATGCATCAGTGTTTCTTAGGGTCATAGATACAAGACTCACAACTTAAAATGAAAGCGTTTAGTTTATTTAATAAAAGAGAACATGTTCAATGTGAAAAGTGACAGTAGATATAGATTAGTTGCAATTTGGTGCTATATATATATATTTAAAAAGAAAAATTATAATTTGTTTTTTTGCTTTTTTTAAACACCTTGAATTTCAGGGGGGGGCGCGAGGCTCTGTTGGCTACCAAGACAATGGCAGGGGAAACACTGAGATGTGTGTCTTCTGTTGACTG